TACAAGGAGCTGGAAGACACAGAATTAAGTGGAAACAAGGGCAAAAAAGGTGTTTTTGTTTTGTTCCCTTTTTTGTTATTTATTTATTTATTTATTCATTCATTTATTTACTGGCAGTTTTGGGGCTGGAGCTCAGGGCTTTGCCCTTGCTAGGCAGTACTGGGGTTTGAACTCAGGGCCTTCACCTTGAGCCACTCCACCAGCCTTTCTTTGTAAAGGGTATTTTTGAGATGGGGGGGGTCTCATGAACTATTTGCCCTGGCTGACTTCGAACCTCGATCCTCCTGATCTCTGCCTCCTGAGTAGCTGGGATTACAGGCGTGAGCCACCAGCGCCCGGCTCCCACCATCATTTTCAAATCAGAAGTCTTCTGTTTCTTTAGATGCTATCTCTAAACCCCTATGCTCTTTTTGTTCGGTTTTGTTTTTGTACTTTTTAGACAGGGTCATATATGTAGGCCGGACTACCCTTGAACTCATGACCCTCATGAGCCTCTGGAGTGCTGGGATTACAGGTGTGAGCCACCATACCTGGTTTATTTCTCACAGTTTTTGGGGTTGGGAAATTCAAAATGAAGGCTCTGCCGCCTGGTTCATAGATGGCACATTTTTGTTGTCTTCTGATGGTGGAAGGATAAGATAACTCTCTGGAGCCCTAAGGGCACTCATTCCATTCCTGGAGCCCCACCAACATGACCTAGGGCCCTCCCGCAGCTCTACGTCCTAATTTATTCCATTGACAGTTAGCCCTATACACAGCACCTCAAGGCTCACGGTCCAGGCCAGGATCTTCAGCCACTGAGCTGTTACTGTAGCAGGCCTTGAGCAGGGTGTGGTGGGTTCCCCCTGTAATCCCAGCACTTGGGATGCTGAGGCAGGAAGATCTCGAGTTCGAGGCCAGACTGGGCTACATATGAGACCCTGTCCCCACCCCAAAAATTGATTGGAGGCATGGTTCAAGGAGTAGAATGCCTGCTTTGCAAGCGCAAAGCCCTGAGTTCAAAACCCAGTCCCACCAGAAAAAGAAAAGAAGTGAACCTAATCTGATTGATTTTATCTTTTTCTCTCTCATGGATTTTGACACCAGCAATTTGTCACCAACGTAAAGGAAGCAGATTAATTTGATAATTACCTTATTTGTTTATCAGAATCCAGTGAAGCCGGGTGCTGGTGGCTTACGCCTGTAACCCCAGCTATTCAGGAGGCAGAGATCAGAAGGATTTTGGTTTGAAGCCAGCCCAGGCAAATAGTTCACAAGACCCTATCTTGAAAAACCCTTCACAAAAAAGGGGCTGGTGCAGTGGCTCAAGGTGGAGGCCCTGAGTTCAAACCCCAGCACCGCAAAAATAATAAAAAAAAAAGGTTCCAGTGAAAAATAAGATTGCAATTGTATCACTGTTTTGTTTTGGTTTTTTTTGTTGTTGTCCTTGGATTCCAGACATTTTAGGGACTCTCTCCCAGACTTGTGAAAAGTTCACTGATTAAGTTTTCTGTCAACATTAGGTTCAAATGTTTGGAGGAATCTAAAATTGTGAAATTCATGACTTGCTATTTTTAGTGGAAGAAGTTTGGTGTGGAATGTTGAAAGGAAAGTTAACTGTTTCAAAATTAAGTGATCATTAACGAATAGCCTAATAGTTGTGAATTTTTTCCTTCACCCACAAAGGCCCGTCAGACATTGAAAGGTTTCACCAGGCTGGGGACTGGTGGTCACACCTGTAATCCAGGCTAGTCAGGAGGCAGAGATAAGGAGGATCAAGGTTCCAAACCAACCTGGGCCAATAGTTCGAGAGACCCTATCGCGAAAAAACCCATCACTAAAAAGGGGCTGGTGGAGTGGCTCAAGGTAGAGGTCCTGAGTTCAAACCTCAGTACCACAAAACAACAACAACAAAAAAGATTTCATCACAATTCTTTAAAGAAGTGGTGTTGGAAAACTGGCCTGAGTGAAGGGCCAGTTTCACTTTCACAGATATTCAGCTGGATGTGATCCGTATTTGCTCACAACTTTAAAAAAATATTGCTGTCATTATTTTTATTTGACAGTTCTATGACCTAAAGTCATTGCCAGGCAGGTTGGGGCGAGGCCCTGCGGCTGCTCTCAGGTGCCACGTGCCTCGTGGCTTGGTATGTTTTATGACATTGGTTATGAGCTCTTCAAGATTGTTGTGGGAAGCCAGTGTGGCAGCACACATCTATAATCCCAGAATTTGGGAGGAGGAGGCAGGAGGATTGTGAGTTGGAGGCTAGCTTGGGCTTTGTGGGGAGACCCTGACTCAACCAAAGAAAACAAAACAGGGACGGGAGGTGAGCAGTATCTCCAGAAAGGTGAGACCTAACTTGGCCTGGACAGCTGGGATGGTGAGACGCCCTCAGGTACTCCTTTAATTTAGCTCCAGAAGCAATGTCCTCAACGTTTCCTTTGTACAACTTGGTCCTTGTTATTTTAGCAAAATGTACACCTAAGGCAGAGTGAGACATTTGACAATATTTTTTGACATTTTTTGAGACAGGGACTCACTATGTCGACTGGGCTGGCCTTGAACTTGTGCTCTCCCGCCTCCACCTCCTGTGTGGTAGGAATGTAGGTGTGTACTGTTACAAAAAAAAAAAAAAAAAGATTTTTGTTTTATTTTTTGTGGTACTGGGACTTGAACTCCACCAGCCCTATTTTCGTGATGGATTTTTTTTTTTTTTTTTGAGATAGGGTCTCATGCACTGTTTGCCTGGGCTTTGAACCGTGATCCTTCTGATCTCTGCCTCCTGAGTAGCTAAGGATTACAGGCGTGAGCCACAGCATCTGGCCTAGTTCTAATTTCTGACTCTGGGCCTTGTGATATTTATTGTCTTCAGTGTTTCCCGCCTTCTCTCGTCTCTGTCCCGCTCTGGCCAGTGGGAACCTGACATTGGAACTGCCAGCTTGGGCCACCCCATTCCACTCTGCACCCCACTTCTGGGAGCTGCTCAAAGTTGAGAGGGGAAAAAAACATCCAGAAGCAGTGACAGAGACATCTGAGAAGGGCAGCTGTCCTGTCAGAGCAGTGACTTCTGGGCAGGCTCTCCAGACAGGACCCTGGCCTGCCAGGGGGAGAGGGGCTCCTTGCCCTGGACAGTGAACAGAATTGGGAGTTCAGGCCCTCAGACAGAGAAGGGCCCTGTGACAGTCACGGGGTTCCCTGCCTGACTTCCCTCTCTCCACCTCTCTGAACCCCTGTTACTGTCTGCCCTCCTCTTTTTTTTTTTTCTGTCCCCCTCACTTTGGCTCTGTCCCCTTTTCTCTTGGTCTTTCCCCACTCCCTCTCTCGGTCTCTGTCACTCTCTCTGGGTCTCACCTCATATGCCCCCTCTGGCCCCTTCTGGCCAGGCCTCTGGGCCTCCATCAAGGAGGGTGGAGAAGTGGTTGGTGCAGGGCCCAGCGAGGGGACTTTCTGTGATGGAGGAAGGAGTTCCCACCTCCCAGGAAGCGCCCTCACAGCTGAGTTACTCCCTGCCAGCAACTTTCTGCCCTTTTACAATCTGGCTTCTGAATCTTCCTTTTCATGTTACTTTGTTTTTCTCCTTGAGGTGGGCTAGAGAATATGAGGTGACAGGGACATGACAAATAAACAGGATTTTGAAACCAGCTGCAGGAATTCACAGACCAGGAAGTAAATAAGCCTCCCTCCCATCACCGCTCCTTTATTTATTTACTTATTTTTGGGGGGGCAGCAGTGAGGCATGAACTCAGAGCCTCCGGCTTGCACCCTGGGGCTTGAACCACAGGCCCAGTCCTTTCACTTTTAGTTTGTTTGTTTTGGTTTTTTTTTTTAAAGATAAGGTCATGATAACTTTACTCTTACCTCCACCTCTTGAGTAGCTGGGATTACAGATGTGAACTACAACACCTGGCCCCATCACCCTCCTTTCTTTCTTTCTTTTTTTTTTTTCTATTTGCTGAACTGGGGTTTAAACTCAGGGCCTTACACTCGCTAGGCAGGTGCTCTACCACTTAAGCCACTCCACCAGCCCTTTTTTTTTTTGTGATGGGTGTTTTTGAGATAGGGTCCCCCGGGCTGGCTTCAAACCTCCATCCTCCTGATCTCTGCCTCCTGAGTGACTGGGATTATAGATGTGAGCCTCTGGTGCTGGCTCACACCTCCTTTCTTTTAGATATTAAATGAATTGCAATCGCCTTTAGGAGTAGGGAGACTAAGAATAAAGTCATGTCTCGCGAGTGGATTCTTGGCTCAGAAAGAAATTCCCTGCGTGGCACATTCGCTGTCTCAAGGTTTGGGACGATAAATCCACCCTAAACCAGGGTCTCCATCCTGGGGAACTCAGCAATGACGTGAACTCGTGTCTTCGTGGGGGTTGAATCTAATCTTCCTACCTATGCCTCCCAAATAGAAGAGATGGAAGTGTACCATAGCTGTCCCAAGACCCAGGACACCCAGCCTCTACCCCTCCAACCTCCATTCACTGTATCTAGGTCCCTGTTCCCCTGTTCTAGGAACCAGGGTGTTCAGAATCCAGCCCTCTGCTCCCGTAGCACTCAGGTGCACCCCCAGAACTCAGGAGTTCCTGTCCCATCTCTGAGGAACAAGATGTCTCCCTATACCTAGTACCAAACACCCCCAGACAACTACATCTCCCATGAGGCTGTCGGGCTGTGGGGTCCTTTAAAAAGAGTCCCCCTTGGTACTGAAGTATGTCTGAGAAAATAGTTCCACAATGCAAACCCAAGAAGACCAGTAGAGGAAGAGCATAAAGTCCTGGAGACCCTGAGGATAACTGAGGGAGTTGAAAATGGGGTCCCGTGGGAGACAGGAGGCTTAGCTTAGTTGGAGGAGGGAGGAAGGTGTCTCAGGGTCAATGTGAGACTGGAAACAGACTCCATTGCCCCCCTCAAACACTCACACATGCTCCTCTGTCAGACTTTATTATACCAAGTAAGAAAAATAAAAAATAAATAAGATAAATACTCGAAATAAATAAGAGGAAACCCAAAAGAAGAAACTGGCTTCAGGAAGCGTAGCTGGGGCTTCGGCCCTGCAAAGGGCCCACCATGCTCAGAGGGTCGGAGGAGCCCACGTCGGGGGGCTCGGGAGCCAGGATCTCTGGAGGCTCCGGCGGGGCGTGGGGCAGGCCTGGCAGTGGCAGGAAGCGGGCAGGTCCCCGCGGGGCCGCGTCCTGCGGTGCGGAGCTGTGCGGAGGCAGGCGCAGGGGCAGGCGCAGGGGCAGCCCCAGTGCTTCCGAGTGGTAAACGTTGTATCCATCTTCCAGAAGCAGCTCTCTGAAGCTGCAGGCTGCAGGGTCAAAGTGGAGCTGCGGGGGAAAGAAAACCGAGGTCCTCTCAATGTAGCTGGTACCGGACTGAGGGGTCCAGACCCAGCCCTCCCTCAGACCCAGGGGTCCAGATCCCAACCTTCTCCCTCAGACCCAGGGTCCAGACACCAACCTTCTCCCTCAGATCCAGGGGTCCAGACCCACCCCCACCCGTTAGGAAACAAGCAGATTGCTGCTGTCCCCCAGGCTAGGCAAGGAGCCTGGCCGCCATCTATTGGACCCTTTGGCACACTGGAGCCATGTGGTCAGGGGCCAGGGTTGCAGTCATGGTGACGGCTTCTCAGGCACAGCTGCGCCTTCACACATCTAAGGACCTGACCTCAGTGGTGACCCTGCCTGGGTCCCATTTTCTTCATCTTGCAAGCACTGACCACAACCACTCCAACCTGCAAAGGGCCACAGCGAGGCTGGAGTGGAGATGGCAAGGAGCCTAGGTTGGCCCTGACTAATGTACAAGACACGTGACCCCAGGTTGGGACGATGCCACCATGGCAAAGGATGTGCCAGGGGGTCCAGAAACTCACCGAGCCATACAGCGTCCCATCTGGTCTCTGGCACAAGAACCTGGATGTCTTGACTCCCAAGATCTGAATGACTCCTGGTTTCAGTGCTTTCAGCTCCAAGAGACCTGGGGGACAAAGTTGCAGGACACTCAGAATACCTTTTTAGTTTTCCTTGTCCTAGACCCAACAGCCCGAGACCTGCAGCTCCTCCTGCCTCAATACTGGTCCTGCCCCATACTCACTTTCGGGGCTCCGATGGGCAGCCCCCGCCACTGTGCCATCCGCCCTGATCTCCAGGTGTGTTTCTGTGTCCTGCGTGTCATCTGTGTAGAGGTGTCTCTGCCGAACTTGACCCCCGAATTGGAGAAGGGGACTGGAGTCAGGGATAGGGCGTGCCTGACATGCTCCCCCTAGCAGAACAACAACCAGCACAGGGACCCACAGTCCAGGCACCTCAACCTTGGCGTTGGCCCAGTCCATCAATGGCGCACGTCCTCAGGGGAAGTAGAGGCAAGGGTGAAGACCTGAGTGCTCTTGAATCAGCTCCAGATGCGCTGGCCCAGGAGAGCTGGTTGAGACTGTGGCTCAGACAGCCTGAATGCTTGTGTCCCCTGTGCGTGAATTCCCAGCTGTCAAAAAAAATCCAACTCGTGGGATGGATGCAGAAGCTCTGGAATTTATACCCAGACAGATCGCCCACGTGCCCTCCCCACTCCTCGGGCGTGATATTTGACCCATTTGGCAGGAGCCAAATTCCACCGTGGCCAGGGCAGGCTGGACAGACAGAATGGACGGGTGACGCAATTGGTATGTGTGTGTATGTATGTGTGGGTCCTTCAAACTAGGGGTCCTGACTACTGGAGATCTAAGGGACAAGGGGACATAAGGAACTGATTAACTGGGATCTGGGTGAAGGGACCTCCTGGATCTGGAGAGGGAGGATCTGGGTTCTTTAATTCCTGGACTGAGGGAGAACCCCTGGGTCTGAGAGAGGAAGCTGGAGCCTGGACCCCTGGGTCTGAGGGAGGAGGGCTGGGGCCTGGACCCCTGGGTCTGAGGGAGGAGGCTGGGGCCTGGACCCCTGGGTCTGAGGGAGGAGGCTGGGGCCTGGATCCCTGGGTCTGAGGGAGGAGGCTGGGGTCTGTACCCAGGGGTCTAAGGGAGGGGGCTTGGCTCCTGGAAATAGCCTTTCTTCATGATCCACGCAGATTTTGTTCTACACACGGACATGTTTTTCCATTTGCATTTCTAGGTTTCTGGGGTTTGAGGGGGGATCTGACGCTTAATCATCAGGAAAGCTTGCAACTGCCATGTGAAAGAAGTGTCACAGCAGGTGCCCCGGCCTTTCACTGTGGCAGAAGGCCAGCTTCACCCTCACCAACCCTGGTCAGAATTTAGACCCTGCCCGTCCCATCTGCTCCGTGCTCCCTGATGCAATCCTGGTGGTTCTTTCACCAGAAGAGTCACTTCAACTGCAGGTGCTCCCAAAACATTCAGGGGGAACAGAGAGGGGCTTCCTCCAGCAGCCACCTCTGTGGGGGAGTGGGGACCAGGGGTGTGAGGATGAAGAGATTCCTGGAGCTCCAGTGAAGGATGAAGTTGCTGGTCCGAAGGAGCGGGGCTTGGACCCCTGGGTCTGAGGGAATTTGTCTGGGGCCTGGACTCCTGGGTCTGGGGGAGGAGGGCTGGGGTCTGGACCCCTGAATCTGAGGGAGGAGGGGCTAAGGTCCCTGTGTTTGGAAGAAAAGAAGCACAACTCTGTCCAGCCTATTGAAATCCCTTGAGACACATTTCTGTTGAATGACTACAAGGTTGGGACTAGACAGGTGGGGCTGGGGGCCGGCCTTGAAAACAGGTTCTGGTCGGCAGGAGAGCAGCGGCTTTTGTCCTGGGCCAAAGGCGCGGCCAGTGGAGGAGGGTTTTGCTCTTTCTGATTCTCTGAAAAGGTTACTTCCGCTTATCTAGAAAGTAATTGCTGGATACCAGACCCTGAAATTCCTGAAAATAAAGGAATTTCTGGCGAAGGGGAATGTGAGTGCCAGATGGGGGCCTGAATGGATTCGGAGACCCTGGTGGACGCGGAAGCACCTTCAGGCGGGAGGCTGTCACCCGAGTGGTGTGAGAGGGCGGAGGCTTCCCCTGGGCTCCTGGGGCTGCCTGGCAAACAGGTTCTCCACCCCCCAGGAGGGCGCGGGATGGGGCGGGGGATGTGGTTCTCTCCCACCCCCTCGGCAGGGACCAGGTGTCCTGGCTCAGCCTGGCTGGGGCGTCGCCTTCCTGGTTGCATGCAGGTAACGAGTGGAAAGTAGTTCCCGACAGCGGAGAGGAAGAGGGCGGTAGACCAGAACCTCTGGGTCCAGCCCTGCAGCTGGGCGCTAGTTCTGGTGTCCAGGAAAGGATGCGGTGGCCGCTCGGGGCCAGGTACGCTGCCCGGCGTGGAGCTCTGTCGCCGGCTCCTTCGGGAATGGAGGGGACCGGGGCGTGGCCTCCACGGATCTTGAGATCTGGGGTCTGGGTCCCGCCTTAGCCCTCGGCGTCAGGGCGCGGCTCCAGGTAAGGGGCGGGGCTTCGCCTCCCTGCTACCTGCCGGGCGCGTGAGGGCGGGGACTGCGGAGCTGGGGACCGCGCCCCTCTCCCTGCCCCCTCCCCGAACCCTCCCTGTCCCATTCGGTCCCAGGAAGCGGCGTGGAAGCCCGGGCTCCCCGGAGCCGGGAGTCTTGGGGGGGAGGGCGGCCAAATGTGGGCTGCATTTTGGGATCGCGCTCTCCCGCTACGCGAAGGTGACTGTGGATCTGCCACCAGAAGGAGCTCAGGTTAGTGGCATCGCAGATGCTCGACACCCTGGAACCTTGCTGCCCCACCTCCTTCGGAGGCCATCCCACCCTCTTCCCTCACTGAGATGCCGGGAGTCACCTCCCAGGTCCCTGGCGCCCGCTCCTCCAGGCTCTAGGATCCGTCCTCTCGTCCTGGGTCCCCAGCCTCTCATAGCCCCGTTGTGGCTTCCCCTCATGTCACGCATGTGTGACAGGGTCCCCCTTCAATGCGCCTTCCACATGGGAGGAGATGCGAGATTCCCAGGGGCGCGGGAACTGGACCATTGCTAACTTGGGAACTTGCGTGTCTCCCATCGCCGTCCCGGGGATTCCTAGGATTTAGGGTCCCAAACTCTTCCTACCTCAGCCCCTTTAGCTTCTTATTCCCCGAGGAGCCCCGGACTCTAGGTTCCCCCTCCCTGACCTCCCCCGTCTGACTCTAAGCACCCCCCCTAATTCACCTTTCTTTCCTGCAGCCATGTGGGCCCCCAGCCGGCGTCACCTCTGCCTGGCCTTCCTGATTGTCTGTGCCCTCTCAGCCATATCTTTCTTTCTCCATCTCCACCAAGACATTTTTCGAAATGCCCTTGACCTGTCTGTCCTGTGTCCAGACCGCCACCTGCAGACGTCGCCTGTAGCCTTTGTATGCCTGCCCAGCACACCACCGGCTCCAAACACGTCCTCTTCTGGTCCCCAGTCCCTTGCCCCCATCTCGGGAACTTGGACAATCTATCCAGATGGCAGGTTTGGGAACCAGATGGGGCAGTACGCCACGCTGCTTGCCTTGGCCAAACTCAACGGTCGCCGAGCCTTCATCCTGCCCGCCATGCATGCGAGCTTGGCACCCGTGTTCCGCATCACCCTGCCGGTGTTGGCACAGGAGGTGGAGAGTCGCACGCCCTGGCGGGAGCTCCACCTCCACGACTGGATGTCAGAAGAATATTCTCACTTGACGGAGCCTTTTCTGAAGCTCACTGGCTTTCCCTGCTCTTGGACCTTCTTCCACCATCTCCGGGAACAGATCCGCAGTGAATTCACCCTTCACGATCACCTTCGGGAGGAGGCCCAGCAGGTCCTGAGGCGGCTTAGCCTGGGTGGCACCGGGGGCCGTCCTCGCACCTTCGTGGGCGTGCACGTGCGCCGCGGGGACTATTTGCAGGTGATGCCCCAGCGCTGGAAGGGGGTGGTGGGCGATCGTGCTTACCTCCAACAGGCCATGGACTGGTTCCGGGCTCACCACGACGACCCCATCTTTGTGATCACCAGCAATGGTATGCAGTGGTGCCGTGAAAATATTGACACCTCCCATGGCGACGTGGTCTTTGCTGGCAACGGCCTGGAGAGTACTCCAGGGAGGGACTTTGCCTTGCTCACTCAGTGCAACCACACCGTCATGACCATTGGTACCTATGGCTTCTGGGCTGCCTACCTGGCTGGTGGAGACACTGTCTACCTAGCTAACTTCACCCAGCCAGACTCTGAATTCTTAAAAATCTTTAAGCCCAAGGCTGCCTTCCTGCCGGAGTGGGTGGGCATTAATGCGGATTTGTCTCCACTTGGGGCATGGGGCCAGCCTTGAAAGCCAAGACTTTTTGGAATGGTTTGACCAGTCTAGATCACACAGTGCATGTCTCCAGAGACCTGACGGCTTCTGGGTAAGCCTGGGTGGTTCTGGAGCAGGTAGATACCATTTCCAGAGTGAATCCACCAGTCTTGGAAAGGAGGAGGGAATTTCTGGAACTGCCTGACACTTCTAGACTTAGCTGAACATCTTTTCCTGATGGTGGCCATGTCTGGAGAAGCGAATGGCAGTTGTAGAAACCTCAGCACTCATCTGCTTTTCCCGTGAAAGTTCTGGATGGCTCCCCTCAGGAACAGGGAACCTTCCCTTCTAGAGCCGACTGACCTGGTCTTTTCTAAAAGAGGCGTTACTTCCAATAGCTGAAGGAATTCAGGGTTTATATAGAGCTAGCACTCACCAACTCTTGTGTTACCTCCGAGGAACTCTCAGCCCCAAGAAAGACTCAAAGACTTTTGGGGAGGAGGCGGAGTGGATAAAACAAGGTAGAGGGAGATAGGTACTGTTGAGACACTGCACCTTCTGAGGTATACATCTTACAGATATCCATGGGATTTTTTTTTTTTTTAAACTCAAATCTGCCAAGGACATGAACTGAGTCTAGCATCAAGGAAGTTTCTTGCTCTGCAGCTGAGATGCTGGGGAGCTCGGGTCTATCTTCTGGATGTCAGCTCACCTGCAGAAAATTACAGGGGCCCTGTGCTCCCAAATTCATAAAACTCACCAAATCTGGCTCTGGGCTGATTCAGGATGAAAGGACCAGGAGGTTTAGACACACCCTGTACCCAATTTAAGCCCAGGCAGGAACACAGGGACTGACCAAGAGGGGTAGGATTTTTGTTTTGTTTTGGTTTTGGGTGGTTTTTTTTTTGGTAGTGGTGGTACTAGGGTTTGAACTCAGGCCCGTGCACTTGCTAGGCAGGTGGTCTACCTCCAAACCGAGGGTGGCAGTTTTGACTCACAGCTCAGGAGCTCTCACTGCTTTTTTTGGAGGGTGAAGGAAGGTTCCTTAAATAATGTCAAGTCTAGTCATACGCCCCCTCCAAAGAAGACAAGTTCCCAGCCCTAGGACATTTCAGGGTATCCTTCCCAGCTCAGCTGCTAATTAGGGGAGTGGGAGGTAGGTATGAATTAAAACTTCAAATCACCAACCTGTCCCCGCGGCCTTTTGGACCTGTGTTTGTGTGTGTAAGTGTGTAAAAGAGTAGAAGGACAGGTGGGGAGCCTCAGGGAACTTTTACTACTCATGCTGCCTTGTGGTATGGTAGCTACTGAATCTGGCTGGCATCTCCCTGCTGGTGTGAGTTGTCTGTTGTTTGAATAACGCAGAAAGGTAAGAAAGATTTTTCCGGGACCAAACGTCAGGAACCGCGTTCTGGGACCCTCAGTATTGGCCCCCAAAGCTTTCTTCATTGGGATATCAGCATTCAATTCTCATATCCTGGTTGAGACGGTGGACAGTATCGTTGAACTACATTTCCCATGAAACTATGGGGCAGGTGATGTTGGCACACATTATAGAAATAGGCCCTAGGGTCTTCTGGGAATTGTAGTCCCACACTAAAAACAGACCACTTCCTGCATCTTCGTGGCTGGACGCCAGGGTTTCCAAAAAAAGCTAGAGAACATTCCAGCCCGAAGCCTGGGAGTAAGGGGAGGGAGGACACCTTGGGCCGGAAGTTCGATCTTTGGCGGTGGAAGTCACAGCTGAGTCTGCCAAAGTTCTAAGAAAAGGCAATCGCCTCTGTGACATCATGGAGCCAGTTACAGTCCAATCACGCGCAGAGTTGAGTTTCTGGGCGGGGCCAAGGAAAGCCCTAGGAAATCGTTGTTTGGGAATTGTGAGCCCCCACGTGGAAAGCTGGAGAGGGGCTGCGGCAGGAGTACCTTGTGGAGAAGGGACGATCGGTGACAAAGATCCCAGTCGTAAAACTCAGTTCCACGCAACCATCCTTTCCTTAGCCCGTAACAAAATCTTTAGTCTTTTTCGTGGAGAAATATTAGAGCAGAAGGACTTGGTCCTCTTCAGAAACCTGGACTCAGCCAGCCGTTGTGTTTTGAGGACACAGTCAGGTATAAAGGTCTGAGAGCGGCTACTAAGGATGCTTCGCTGTTTAGGGTGCATAAGGCTCAGTTTCCTGAGAAGGGTGCGCCCTGCAAATTATGGCCTTGGGGAAGGATGGACAAACGTTCCTGGCAACTGGAGGAGGGCTTGGACTCAAGTTAGTAGGGGCTCCCAGGTTTAGAGTTTGGAGTGTATATGAATGAATTTTGAGTTTGATCATATCCAGGTTGGTCCCGTATTGAATAATTAATTTGATAAGTGCATTGACATTTGTGGTGCAACAGGTTTTGGGGCTCAGGAGGGTCTTGAGTAGTGATTTGCAGTTCAGCCCATGGATTGGGAATTTGGGAAGTCCGGGTGGGGTCTGGAGTTCTGAGTTTGGGACTGGTTTAATAGTTTGTTGATTGCCCAGTTGAGATGCAATGAGAATCCTTAATTTGGGGTCTCCTGTATTGGGGATTAAATTTCACGCCCATTTGAGGAAGGGAACCTAGTTGATAAGGGGCTCTGTGAAATCCTCTAAGATGGACTTTGACTTGTCCGTTTAGCGTCCATCTGTTCTGGTTTGGGGCTGAGAGGACCCTCCCTGGCGGTGTTGGAGAACTTTCTCAATGGGGCCACGGTTTGCCCTCCTGTTGGCGGCTCTGGCTGACTGCCTGCTTCCCGGGATATGCTGTATCTATTGTAACCCTGGGGTCGTGAAAGCACTAAAGTCTTTGGAGCAAGATTACCTCCCTAGCCACCTGGATGAAAAACATCGCAAAGTCCTGATGAAAATGATAGAGGATGCCGTGAAGGATTTCAAAGATCTACCCTACCATGAGGAAACCTTTATGGGGGCTATTGGTGAGGGCAGGGCTGAGCGCCAACTCCTGGGTCCTGGGATGGGAGTGGAAGGACTTGGAACAGGATTGTTTCCACCAGGGATGACAGGGGCTGGGGACAGTTCTCAGAAGTTCAAAAACGGAGCGGGTTGGAATGCAGATTTCAGCGTTCCCCAGCTGTACTGGGATTTGAACTCAGAGCTTCATCTTGGCAAAGCTTGAGGCACGCCCCCAGCCCTTCTCTGCCCCCCTTAGTCAGCAGTTGTGTTATAAAACTCTAATTCCCAGAAGGCACAGGGCAGCTAATCCCTTAACCAGGTTTGTCTTTGCCCAATGGCCTCATGGGTATTGTAGTTTCTATGAGGAGGCAAGTCAATGAGGCAGAAAAGCTGCAATCTGGGGTTCTATATCCCCCCCCACACACAGACGCAGACACGCTGGAACAGTCATCCTGGAGTTTTCTGAAGGCTCTTGAACGCATTACCAGCAGTGATGCAAAAGGTAAATGCTTCCTAGGGAAGTCACTCTTGGTCTTTGCAGATGAACTGCCTGGGTTTAAATCCCAGCTCTGCCACTTCCTAGCCCTATGCTCTTGAGCAAGAGACTTGGTCATAAAATGGAGACAGTAACAGTGACTTCCTTCCTTAGCTGTGGTGAAGATTAAATGAATTAATACATGTGCGTTACTTCCCCTGTAGCTGACATTGTGGTAAGTGTTGATTTCAGTGTGCTTCCCTGAGAAGACCAGAAACTGGATTTCTAACCCTGCACTGTGGTGCACACCTGTATTCCCAGCTACTTGGGAGGCTGAGGCAGGATTGCTTGAGCTCAGGAGTTGGAGACCAGTCTAGACAATATAGCAAGACCCCATCTCAGGAAAAAAAAAAAAGAAAAGAAAGAAAAAGGGAGGAGTTACAGGAGTGGTAGTACATGTCTGTAATCCCAGCTTCTCTGGAGGTGGAGGTAGGAGGACTGAGGTTCCAGGCTAGCCTAGATAAAATTAGGAGGTGACCCATCTGAAAAACTAAAAAGCAAAAGAGGCTGGGAGAATGGCTCAAGTGATAGAGAACTGCATAGCCAGCATGAGGCCCTGGGTTCAATCCCCAGTATTGAAAGAAAAAAAAAAAAAAAGAAACAACCTCCTGTACCTTGCACCCCAGGTGGGGATGGAGGGGCACATTGCACCACCCTGCTTCCTCCCAGGAGAGCTTTTCGTTAAGGAAATGTCCTGGATGCTTCACCAGCAAAAAGATGTGTTTGCCAGTCTTGCCGCTCGTTTCCAAAAAGAAGGTGAGGCAACATAGACAGCCAGGAGACCCCAGCTCCCTTATGTCTGGGTCCAGCCCCTCTGCTTCCTTAACCCCCCACCCCATCCCCCCTCAGGCGGAACCTCCCTCAGGTCCTTTCCCTGGGAACCCAAGACCCCAGCCTTTACCAAACCCCCTCTCTAGTCAATTTAGATACCTGATTCTCTTACTGCTTTTTCTTTTTTCCTTCTTCCTTATGAGGCAGTTTTTTGTCCCAACACCTGTGGTGAGTCCAGATAATAAGAGCTAGCCCTTCATCCCCCATCCCTGCCCCCTTTCCCCCCTCCCCTTTTTGGATGTGGATGGTTTTTTATTCCCCATCTGAGAGGTTCAGTGGTTTCCAGTACACTTTCTCTAGCTTGGATTTCTTGTTTATTTTTCGGTACTGGGGGTAGTGTCAAGGGCCTCTTGCTAGGCAAGCGCTTTATTACTTGAGCCATGTCCGCAGCCCGAGGGGTCACTTTCTATTTGCACTTTACTGAGCCTCGTTGGGCTGGCCTTCAAAGGTGTTTGACGCAAAAGGCTGCCCCAGCCCTTGGCTTTCACCTTGACCCTTCAGGCACCATGTTGCAGCCTCTGATCTGGTGCAACAAATGCGAGAAGCTGGTCCACGTTTGCCGGAAGTCCCAGGATTGCGGGGGTGAGAGCTGGATGCGGCGGGGAGGGAGTGGGTGGAGGGATGCAAGAGGGGCGGGGCCAGAGGCTGGGTCTCGCGGGGACGGCCCACGAGGAAAGGCGGGGCCCAAGCCAAGTGTAGCCTAGAAGCGCGCGTCTCACAGCCACCCCCACCCCATCCTCAGAGCGTGAAGTGCAGGTGTATAACATGGAAGACTTGGTGCTGGACTGTCAGCTCAACTGGCATCACGCCTCTCAAGCCACCACCGAGTACAGTTTTTACAGGGTGGGGCCCTCCAACTCCTCTAACCCTTGAATTTCACTCAGTCCATGCGGGCTGTATGAACCCCAAGCCCCTGCAAACACTGGTCCTTGGATCCACTGGCCTGCACCCGACCCTCCTGACCTCTACCGATCCCTAGGGACCCCGCGTCCTGACCACTGACCCCCCAGATTCCCGCGACCCTCACCAAGGGCCCGTGATCTTCTCACCCCTGCACTCCCCCAACTCCTGAATTCCCCAGACCTCTGTGACCCCTTGAGCTTGGGTCTAGGTTTGGGGAAACAGTACTGAGACCTTGCTGACCAAGGGGAGTGAGCCCGTCCTGACCAAGCCCTTGACAACTACAGAGGATGCAGGTCGCTATCGTTGCGAGCTGGGCACTACGAATTTCGGCCCAGCCACGATCATTCATTTCCGCGTCACAGGTCAGTGCTGGGTGTTAGAAAATGATGTCAAGGCTGGAGGCAGCGTCCCGGCGTGGCCTCAGCCAGGGGAGCTTAACTTCCTGTTGGGATGTGGCTTCGGGCCGCGGGGATGTGGTCTCTGGATGCTGGGACAGGGTCCCTCCGGGTGTGCGCACCCGGGTGACTGGTGCAGGATGGCCTTCACTCGCTGCCAGGACTGTCCTTTGTCTCTCCTCCATCAGTGTTGCCCCAAAAACTCGAGGAGGAGCGCCTGCCACCACCAAATCTCTTGAACCATTCTGAGACGACAGAATGGGACCCCTCTGAAAATTACGAGCCACAGAAGGCCGGGAAGTCGCTGAGACGCCGCCTTTTAGGGCTGCTGATCTGCCTCCCTGTAATCCTGATAGCCTGCGCTGCTGCCTTGTGAGCCGCCCACTGAGGGGCGGAGCTTAGAGGGGGCGGGGTTTCATACTACCCAATGCTCAGCCGAGCGCCTTCCTTTGGGGGCGGGGCTTACCAGGAGGGCGAGGCTTGGATAATTGCTCAATTAATGTCTTAATTTGTTGGGGGGTTTGGGTAGGATGTCGTTCACGCAACTACGGCCTAACCTGGCTGCATTATTTGTACCCCATCCTCCCCCAGTCTGTTTTACTGGACTAAGATTAAAGGTAAATCAAAGACTTCAGTCCAGGACCGGGAGGGAGGAACCACAGCGGCCACAGAGGAAAAGACCGAGGACGAGACAGAAGAAGAAACCCAATAAAGATTTGTTTTCTTGTCTCTTTGACTTACTCCTCCGGACTGTTCCTAACTTTTGTCTCCCCGAGAAAAAAGATTCCGAGATGTGCTCCTGCCTGAGGGAGGAGGGCCTGGAACCCGGGACCCTGGATCTTGGTGGTGGTGGGGAACCAATGGGCTGAGATATAATTCCAGAATCAAGGAATAGGGCAGGGCCAGCCTTACCCAGATCTCCTCCCCCAGGCCTGGTCTCCTCACAGGACGCCCCCTCCCCGCTCTTCCTGCCGGGTTTCCTTTCGCCTTTTCCTGTCCCCCACCCAGTGCTGGAAGCTGGGGCAGAGGCACAGACTTTACAAGAGCAGAGAGATCAGGAATTAACCGAGGCCAACGGAGCCAGGGCCTCCGGGTGCTGCGGGACCCGAAGCAGGGTAAGAGCCAGGGGACCCAGGAGTCAGTCCACAACCATCTCCCATCTCTGGAGCTAGGAGTTCAGGGCCCCATCCCTCTCCTTCACTGAACTCGGGAATCTGAGCCCAGCCCCCCTCTTCCTGACTCTCCCTTAAGTCCCTTTCCCTGAAATCAGGTCCCCTTCCAACCCATCCCCACCATCCAGTGCCTTACCCATCCTCTCTTAGGGCCATGCTATCTGGTGAACGAAAGGAGGGCGGAAGCCCCCGCTTCGGGAAGCTTCATCTACCTGTAGGCCTGTGGATCAATTCCCCCAGGAAGCAGCTGGCCAAGCTGGGGCGGCGCTGGCCCAGTGCTGCCTCTGTGAAGTGAGTAGCCACTTCTGCGGGAGGCCTGCCCCGGTCCCACCTGCCCCTCATCTGTGCGTGTTTATGACCCAGTCCTGCACCGGGTCATGTCAGGAGTCCTGAAAGGGTTGCTTTGGTTTCTGTTCTGAATGGCAAGCGATCTGGGGAAGGGGAGGGGGGTTGCTAGGAGTCAGTGGGACATGGCGATATCAGGGCGCAGTGGAGGAAGAACTGGGCCAGGAGATGGGGTCAGGCCGGATGGAGACGGGGATGGGACACATAAGACAAGGCGCAGGGGTTTGATTCACCTTCCTTCCTCCTCTCCCTGCTCACCTTAGAATTTCCTTCTGTGGGACTCGCCTTTATTTACTTATTTTTCTCCCTTTCTCTTTGTCTTCGGTATTCCCCCCACCTCCTGTCTCCATCCGCTGGGGGTCTCTGGTCTTTCTGTCCTCTGCTCTCTTTCTCTCTCTGGGTCCCGTCCCTTGCTCTCTGGGTCTTTGCCCACTTCCCTCCTTCTGTAACCCATTCCCGACTCTGCGTGTCTTTCTGGGTCTCTCTCCCCCAGGTCTTCGTCTTCCGACACGGGGAGCCGCAGCAGCGAGCCGCTACCCCCGCCCCCTCCGCACGTGGAGCTGCGGCGGGTGGGCGCGGTGAAGGCGGCCGGGGGAGCCTCGGGGAGCCGTGCCAAGCGCATCTCACAGCTCTTCCGGGGCTCGGGGACCGGGGCCGTGGGGTCCGGTGGCGCTGGAGGTCCCGGGACTCCTGGGGGCGCACAGCGCTGGGCCAGCGAGAAGAAGCTGCCGGAGCTGGCAGCGGGCGTAGCCCCGGAGCCCCCACTGGCCACCCGCGCCACGGCGCCACCGGGGGTCCTCAAGATCTTTGGCGCGGGTCTGGCATCGGGTGCCAACTACAAGAGCGTGCTGGCCACGGCGCGTTCCACCGCGCGTGAGCTGGTGGCCGAGGCGCTGGAGCGCTACGGGTTGGCCAGCAGCCCCGGCAGTGGCCCGGGCGAATGCAGCTGCGTGGACGCCTTCGCGTTGTGCGACGCGCTGGGCCGACCCGCGACGGCCGGCGTGGGCAGCGGCGAGTGGCGGGCGGAGCACCTGCGTGTGCTGGGCGACTCCGAGCGCCCACTGCTGGTGCAGGAGCTGTGGCGGGCGCGGCCCGGCTGGGCGCGGCGCTTCGAGCTGCGCGGCCGCGAGGAGGCGCGCCGCCTGGAGCAGGAGGCCTTTGGAGCTGCGGACAGCGATGGTGAGGAGCGCGCGGGAGTCTAGGGGCGGGGCCTGCCCTGGGGGCGGGCTTACAGAGCGAGGGAAGCGTGGCTAGTAGGACTGGAAGGGGGGGCTGCGGGGCGGAGCTCTTGTGGAGCAGGTTCTGGGGCGGGGCTTGTACCGACGGGAGGGCTGGGGGCGGAGCTCACGGGGCGGAGTCTGGGTGGTACTTGTAGGTTGGATCTAGAGCAGGACCATCTTCTGTTAGATGGGCGTCGTAGAGGGTGGGGCCTGTTGATTGAGCTGCCTTTATAAGGCGGAGCTTGGGTCTTGGGGTGTGGCTTAGTGGTGGTGGTGGCGGCTGGATGTGTCCGAGAATGGTCCCAGAGTCTTTAGTAGGTCTTTCAGACTGTCTCGGAGGAGGATGCATGTGTAGTGGGGCCTGAGGAGTAGTTAAGAAAATGCTCAGCAGTGGTTGTGGGGTAGGGGATCAGGATGAGCAGAAGTCCACGGGATGTGGAGGGATTAGTCCTGTGTATTATTAGAATTGGAGAGAACTAGAAGCTGGAGGAATAAGCGTTGACTAGAGGGATGTGGAGAACCAGTGGGCACGGCCTGGACCTCGAGGTGTTTGGCAGGGTGATGTGCGGCGGCACCTGGGGAGGGAATGAATTTCTGTGGCTGGAGGCAGCTCTGTAAAGTCGGTGGAGGCAGGTCTTATAGGGCTGGGCCTATGTGCGCGGAGCCTACAAGTGGCAAAGGTGCTACTGGAGAGCACGAAAATGGGTCTGGAGGGCTGAGTGGGCGGAGCCTCAGGGGGGCGGATCTTGGGCCAGGTGGTCTTAGTCTGGACTGGCTGCCTGGTGTGGGCACTTGGGAAAGGAAGGAGCTAGAAAAGTGTTACTTGAAAGGCTATGTTACGTGGGCGTCTGAACCAGGAGGTGGAGTCAGTTCTAGGTGAAGGTTCTATAGCATAACGAGTAGAAGAGGTTTAGCACGGGGCTTGGCACCTAACAGGTGCTTAATAATGGCGACTACCGGCTGGGGTCGTGGCTCAAGTGGAGGTCAGGAGTTCAATCACCAAAAAGAAAAAAGAAAGGAAATGGCAATTACAATTATTTCCCCCTAAAAGCATTAACTGAACACTTACTGTGGGTCACACTTTTCTTTTTTAGGATCTGACAAGCTTAGAGGAAAACACATTTGTTCATTAATTAAGCTCATGACCAGTGGGGGCCTAATCATGTCAGCGTCTGTGCCTTGTGGGACAGTCACCTGTTTCAACTTGGCCTATCAGGGAAGAGTGTGAGGAGGATGTCTGTATCTATCTCCCAGGACACTCTTGTCTGTTACTCGTGCCTATATTCCCCGCACATAGGAGGTGCTTAATAAATGTTTGCTGAAAGAATAAATTTCTGAACTGACAACTGCAAGATGGGTTGGAATCAGGCAGGAAGTGTGTTTCAGACGCAGGGAACAGCATCTGCAAAAGCCTTCCTGTCTCAGCCTCTCTGTTCTCCATCTCTCCATAGGCACCGGCGCCCCCTCGTGGAGACCACAGAAGAACCGCTCCCGGGCAGCATCTGGTGGGGCGGCGTTGGCCAGTCCTGGTCCAAGTTCGGGATCAGGACCCTCGACTGGGTCCGGGGGCAAGGAGCGGTCAGAAAACTTGTCCTTGCGGCGCAGCGTGTCCGAGCTTAGCCTGCAGGGTCGGCGGCGGAGACAGCAGGAACGCAGACAGCAGGCACTTAGCATGGCACCAGGGACAGCTGATGCCCAGATTGGACCTGCAGATCCTGGGGACTTCGATCAGTTGACTCAGTGCCTCATCCAGGCCCCCAGCAACCACCCCTACTTCCTACTGCTCCAGGGCTACCAGGACGCCCAGGTCAGCGCTGCCTCCCTTACCCAGAGAGTCCTGTGCTTCACCTGCTATTGTAGGACAAAAACCTACAACTCCGAGAATTCCTCGGGTTAAGGCAGCCTCTGGTGGTCCCAGGAAGTTTCCAGAGTAGGAACAAGAATAGCAAGGTGAGAGTAGAGGTGGAGGGTAGATGGCTGACAAAGATTTCAATGGAGGGACAAATAGTAAGTGATACATTTCATTGGAAATGTGGTGGAAAACACTGTCTTCGTCAAGGGAGAGTCCATTGTAGAAAGAAGGCCCCATGCAAACATCCCTTTCTTGAGGACGATCCCCTCTTCTGGGACAGGGAAATTATTTGGTGCTTGGTCTGGATAAGCCTGTATTTTCATTTGTTAAAGATGATGGTTTAGGGCTGGGGGTGGAGCTCAGAGGTCGAGCCCTTGTACAAAACTGGGTTTATTCACCAGTACCAAAAGGAAAAATGAAAAGGCTGTAATGATGGAGGCCGGTGGTACTGACACTTCTATGTTATTTTATGTTGGGTGACAGGAGGACAATTGAGTATTGGGTTTCTCTTAGGAAGAGGGTCAGACGGTGCTTCCATTTTTATAGGATGGAGGCGAGTCTGTTTTTCCGGAAGCAATCTTCTAGAATGTATCTCTCCATTAGTGAATGAAACAGGACATTCTTTGTAAGAAGGGGGGTCTCCTTGAAGTATCTATTTATAAGGGGGATTACTAGAAGAGTCCACTGTTTGGTTACGTCCGTGCCGATGTCTGTCCACTTTGGGGATGGGAATATTGAGTGTCCTTTGGTGGACAAGGGAGTGTCTTGAGAGTCCTCCACCATAGGAGTAGGTAACAGAATTAGGTTTAATAGATGAGTCCATTATAGGCGTGTTTCCTTGGAAATCAATTCATCACAGGGATAAACTAGAGTTCACTGTAGAAAGAGGGTCTCTTTGGAAGTGTACATTCAGGGGGTTGGGGGCGATGGGCAAAATCTTAGTTCAAATGGGGAGTCTTCATAAAGGTGTCCATTCCTTCCTTCGGGATGTTGAAGCTCTTATTGGAAGGGGCAATGTACCTGGTTGCTTCCATCATGACACTGGAGTAATGAACAAGTGCGGACAGGGGTAGGGAAAAGGAGAAGCGTTCCTTGGAAAGGCTCTTTGAGCAAGAGGATAATGGGCCAGTCCATTTTAGTAAGGAGGGGAGGATGTTTTTGGAAGCACCTATTTCTTGGGGGGGGGGTTGGAAGATTATGGGACAGCCCACTGTAGGAGAGGAGGAGTCCACTCAGCAGAGTTGACAAGATGGGACAGTCGAGTGGAGAAGGATCTCTTTGGAAGCAGCTGTTATTGAGCAGTGACACGGTAGAGTCCACGTCAATGGTGTCTTTGTAAGTATGGAGTCTTCAGGATGCATTTTATGGATGTGTACCAATGAAAGTGCCTTGGAAGAGTCCAGTCATCGGAGGTGGGGACTTGGACGGTCCTTTGGGCTCCTAGGAAGTGTTTATCCAAGGAGAGGGTGGGGGGTGGGAGAGTGGATCATGGGAAGGGGACGTTAGGAAGCGGCTCCGTCAATGCATTTTCGCCTTTCCTCTAGGACTTCGTGGTTTACGTGATGACACGGGAGCAGCACGTGTTCGGCCGGGGCGGGACCTCGTCAACCCGCAGCGGGTCCCCAGCCCCATATGTGGACACGTTCCTCAATGCCCCTGACATCCTGCCACGTCACTGCACCGTGCGCGCCGGCCCGGAGCCCCCAGCGATGGTGCGCCCTTCTCGGGGCGCCCCGGTCACGCACAACGGGTGCCTCCTGCTGCGGGAGGCCGAGCTGCACCCCGGCGACCTGCTGGGGCTGGGCGAGCACTTCTTGTTCATGTACAAGGACCCCCGCACTGGTGGCTCGGGGTCGGCTCGGCTCCCGTGGCTGCCCGCGCGTCCCGGGGCCACCCCGCCGGGCCCCGGCTGGGCCTTCTCTTGTCGCCTGTGCGGCCGCGGCCTGCAGGAGCGCGGGGAGGCACTGGCCGCCTACCTGGACGGCCGCGAGCCGGTGCTGCGCTTCCGGCCGCGCGAGGAGGAGGCGCTGCTCGGCGAGATCGTGCGCGCCGCGGCCTCGGGCGCGGGAGACCTGCCCCCGCTCGGGCCCGCCACGCTGCTCGCGCTGTGCGTGCAGCACTCGGCCCGGGAGCTGGAGCTAGGCCACCTGCCGCGCCTACTGGGCCGCCTGGCCCGACTCATCAAGGAGGCCGTGTGGGTGAGCACCCCAACCGCCGCCCGCCTACTCCCCAAGTCTTTTCCGCATCGCCCCACCCGCCCCCATCCTCACCGATGATCCCTCAGTTTCAGACTTGGGTGAGAAGAAACTACCTCTCCCATGATGCCTTGGGCTATTAGTTAAGAGGCCGCACAGGATGCTGGGAGTCGTGGATTCATCCACTGTGCTTTCAGAGAAGGCCTCTACCTTTGGAGCTGCAGGGACCCGGGAGAGGGTCATGGGAGAAACCATTCTGGGAAGTGGGGGGGGGGGGAAGATCACATTGGGTGAGAAGTTAGGAGAGACCATTGAGAAGTGTGGCGGGTCCCCCTTTGGGCTTGGACCTTGGAGCTTGGAGTAGTGGGAGCAAGACCATTTTGAGGATAGGCCCAAGACCATTTTGAGGATAGGTCCATTGGGCTTACATATAGAAGTGCCAAAAAGGAATCGGAGTGGAGAGAAAAGGTTCCATAGTATTGAGCTAGGGCCTACTTAAAGGGGTTTAGGGAGTTCCTGGTAGGTAAGAAACTGAACAGAACAGGACCAGAGGGAAATAGATTACTGGAGGTTATAGGGCTGTGTTTTAAAAGGTAAGAAAAGCTAAAGACTCTTCTGAAATTTGGGGGTTACAGTGCATCTGAAAAGTGGGGAGATTGTCAAAAAAGTGCTTCTAGAAAACAGGTACTAGGCTGGGTGTGGTGGTATACACCTGTAATCGTAGCATTCAGGAGGCTGAGGCATGAAGATTTGAGTTTCAGGTCAATCTAGGCTACATAGCGAGATTCTGTCTCAGAGAGAGAGAGAGAAGGGATGGAGGAGGGAAAAAGAAAGAAAACCCAAGGTATTGATTCATGGTCCCCTCACTGTGATTCTGATGTTACGTTCCACAGGGAAAGATAAAGGAAATTGGAGACCGTCAGCCTGAGAAGTAAGAGAAATTCGGGGCAGAAAGATCTGGAGAGATGCTGGGGTTGGGATTTGCATCTGATTCCACATTTCCTTAGAGTTTCTGTGCTTCCTTGGGATTTAGCTTTTTCAGTTGTGAAATGGGGCTTGGGCTTGGTCTGTAACTTAGAGCCAGATCTTGGGTTTGGACACTATGATGGGGGTTAGGCAGGGATCATAATTTCCTTTTTCTCTCTCAGCCATCCTGAGGGGGTCCCGGAGGTGCCCCTGACCCCTGAGGCTGTGTCTGTTGAGCTGAGGCCACTCATGCTGTGGATGGCCAACACCACAGAGCTGCTCAGCTTTGTGCAGGAAAAGGTTCTGGAAATGGAGAAGGAGGCTGACCAGGAGGGTGAGCTGTGACCCAGGCCCAGGCCTGACCAAGCTCCCTATCACTCCCTGAGCCTGGAAACCTGGGCTCCTGGCTGCCAGCCTCTGGTTCTCCCTCTCACCCCCAGGCCTGTCCTCAGACCCACAGCTCTGCAGTGACTTGGAATTGTGTGATGAGGCCATGGCCCTCCTGGATGAGGTCATCATGTGTACCTTCCAGCAGTCTGTCTACTACCTCACCAAGGTTGGCCTTGCCCTCTCTTTAGTTATCACAACAGCACTTTCTGTTCAAACAGTCACTTCCTGTTTGACTCAAAATTTCCCTCCCCGTGACAACACTTCCCATCTCACTTCGGTACTTTACTGTTATGGTACAACTTCCTGTTTGAGCTTACATCACTTCCTGCCTTTCTGGCTTCTCTTCCTGTCTTTGCAATTATCATCTTTTGACAGACTGACCTCATTACCCTGTTGTATCATCAGTACTGTTTTCTCAAACACCCATTGTCTTTGACTACTAAGTTAAGGATAGATAGATAAATAGATGTACAGAGATAGATCAAATACTGCCAGGCACTGTCATTTAAACCAAAGCCCTTTCTAACCAGGCCTCACTTCTGTGTTTGGTGACCTCACTTCCTATAGCTCTGACTTCACTCCCTTTTCTAAGCCACAGGCCTTTTTCTCCCTGGCTGCCATTCCTGCAGAGCCTGCTTCCTCTACCATCTGATACTGTTTCTTAGACTTCCCAGGGTTTTGCCTTATGGTGGGCCTGATACCCTGACGGTAGAAGAAGAGGGGATCTCTTGGCACAGATAGTCTGTTAAATTCCTCAAGCGGTCTTGATTATGAAGCCCTTCTCTGAAGCTTCATAGTGCCAAGTGTGGATTATTGCTAATCCATCTCTGATGTCATTTCCTGTCCTTGGCCTGATCACACTTTCCACTGACTTACTGCCACCCCCTCCCACTTCCTGACTCCCCATTCTTTTTCTTTCCTTTGGGAATTCTAGATAAATACTTCCTTGACAGAAGGAGGTCTCTTTTTCCAGTGCCCTTTATTGTTCTTCAGATATCTCTGCTGTGAACTACAAGTCCCATAATGCATGATAGGTGGTCTTGAAATACCCAAGAAACTTCTAGAAAGCTTTTCTTAAGACTTGAGATGTGCTTGCTTCCACAGCACATATGCTAAAATTGGAACAATACAGAGAAAATTAGCATGGCCCCTGTGCAAGGATGACACACAAATTCATGAAGCAGTCTGCATTAAAAAAAAAAAAAAAGACTTGAGATGTTCTGGTATTAATAAATTCTAGAAGCCCATCTACAAAGTTGGGGTTTGCTGATGGAGCTTCTTTGGGTGTCGAAGGTGGAATGGACTGCAACTCCCAGAGGCCTTTGGTGGCATTCCTCATTGTCTTCATGCTCTACCACCCTGAAGCTTCCTGAAAGTTGTAGTCCAACCACTTGCTTCTTGTCTCTGTCTCCTCAGACTCTTTATTCAACACTGCCTGCTCTCCTGGACAGCAACCCTTTCACAGCTGGGGCTGAGCTGCCGGGGCCTGGCGCAGAGCTGGAGGCCATGCCTCCGGGGCTGAAACCTACCCTGGGCGTGTTCCAGGCAGCTCTGGAACTCACCAGCCAGTGTGAGCTTCACCCTGACCTTGTGTCTCAGACTTTTGGCTACTTATTCTTCTTCTCCAATGCGTCCCTTCTCAACTCGCTGATGGAACGAGGTGAGGGGACTCACCTTTGGGTGCTCTGGACAATAGCTGCGGGTCCCAAGTTCAAGAAAGGGTCTGGGAGGAGCAATGGGTCCACCATCCATTGCCCTTCATACCCTCCCATCACAGGTCAAAGTCGACCTTTCTATCAGTGGTCTCGAGCTGTCCAAATCCGAACCAACCTGGACTTAGTGTTGGACTGGCTGCAGGGTGCTGGGCTGGGCGACATTGCCACTGAGTTCTTCCGGAAACTGTCCACAACTGTGAACCTGCTTTGTGTGCCTCGAACCTCCCTGCTCAAGGTGATTCCTGGTAGCTCAACTTGACCCGTGACCTGTGACCCCTCAAGCCTATGTAGTCATCCTCTGTATTCGGCTCATCTTGGAGCTGTCCATGTCACTCAGCCCTAGCTCAGGCACTGTGGGTGACCATTAGCAGTCAGGAGGCCAGCATATATGATGACCAAACTTGGCTGTGTCTGAATCCCAGTGGGACTTATTAAAAATACTTTCCAGGTCCCTCCTTCAGACCTGCTGAGCCAGGAAGTCTAGAATGTGATGGTTAAAACATTCACTGAACTTAAACTCCATGCTAGGCCCTGTTTGGCACTTTTAGTTTAATACTCATAGATCCCTAGGAAAACAGGCTATTAACAGGAAACTGAGAATCAGATAAGTCACTTGATTTCACTGATTTATTTTAACCAAACATTTACAGTGCATTTTGTGAGCCCCAGGCAGTGTTCCAAGTACTTTAAAATTTTGCCTTATTGCATCTTCATAACAACCCTATGAGTCCTTTTCTACCAATTTACAAGTTGGGAAATTGAGGCATAGTGACTTACCAGAAGGTTAATGAGTAGCCAAGATGGGATTCTGTTTTTTGCAGTTCTGGGATTTGAACCCAGGTCCTCCTGCATTCCAGGCAAACACTCTCCCACATGAGCCATGCCCCTAGACTTTTGTTTTTATTTTGCTTTTGAGACAAAAGCAAAGGACTCCTTCACTTTGTCTGGACGGCCTTGAATTCAAGATCCTGCAGCCTCCACCTCCTGCATAGCTGGGTTTACAGGTGTGCGCCATCATGCCTGGATTCAAGCTGGAATTTTTTTTTTATATATATGTTAAATCCTTCAATTTTTTTTTCTTATTCTTTTTCTTTTTTTTTTTTGGTGGTATTTGAACCCAGGGTCTCATGCTTGCAGGCATTCTTAGTGCTTGAGCCACTCCACCAGCCCCATGCTGGAATTTTTAATTAATTAATTATTTCTTTGTGTAGGACTAAGGTTTGAATTCCAGGCTTGAGCCACACCTCCAGTCCATTTTGCTCTGGTTATTTTTGGGAATGGGAATCTCACGAACTATTTCTCCAGGCTGGCCTCAAACCAAGATCCTCTCAACCACAGCCTCCAAAGTAGCTACGATTGCAGGTGTGAGCCACTGCAGCCCAGCTCGAAGCTGGGATTTTTGAACTGAGGCAACATGCCAGTTAACCCAAGGACAGAAATTGTCCGACAGTAGCAAAAACAACCACAATGGAATAACAAGTCCCCACGTAGCCATCAGCAGCTTCAGTAATGTAAACTAATGTCCATCTTGTCCCCCACCCACTTCCTCTGTCTTCCTTTATTCGGAAGCCGATCGGTTGTAAAAATTGCTGAAGCACACCTTTCCCCACTAATGCTTCAGTGACTAGCAACCTTCACAGTGCTGGGAAAGAGGCACATGCCCCACTTCCCAGTCCCCTCCGTGGAGGCCCTTCCATTTAAGGTTTCCCAGCTGCCCCATAATGACCACGGACTTCTCCACCTGGTCCTCCCCCCAGGCTTCCTGGAGCAGCCTACGAACGGACTACCCGACCCTGACCCCCGCTCAGCTGCACCATCTGCTCAGCCACTACCAGCTGGGTCCTGGCCGTGGGCCTCCCCCCGCCTGGGACCCTCCCCCTGCAGAGCGGGATGCTGTGGACACAGGTGAGGAGCAATGGGGCTACAAGCATTGGGACTTTCCTTTGTATACTTTCATTAGAACCTAAAAGTCCATATCCCCAGTCTTCTCCCTGTGACTTAGGATTCTGCAGCCTCTTCCTTTCCCAGCCTTCTTCTTTCCAGGATGTAAGACTTAGCGTTAGCGTGCTTGCCTAGTTTGTGCAAGAACTTGGGTTCCATCCCCAGCAATGCAAAAAAAAAAAAAAAATTCTTGCACTTAAGTCTCTTTTTTCTACTTAGTCCCTTTTTTCTCAGGCTTCAGTCTCCCGTCTCCTACAACTTTCACCCACCTCATGTAGGATTAGGGAATGCGGCCCCCTCCATCCTCAGGAATCCCTAAGACTAAGTTCCGAGCCCCTCCTCTGGGACCTAGGAACCAATTGCATCGCCCGTTTCCTAGGCAACGGCGGCCGTTCGTAGTCTTAACTACAACTCCCATCATGCTTAAGGGCTCCAAGAGTCTACTCCAGAAGTTGCTGGTTGTTGGAAGTTTTTCTGCCTTCGGGTGGGATACAGCCTTTCCTCTATTGCCGCCTCACGTCCATTTTGAGACTTTTAACTCCTTTTTTGGCCCCACAGGGGACATTTTCGAAAGCTTCTCCTCCCACCCTCCCCTCATCTTGCCTCTGGGCAGCTCGCGCCTGCGCCTGTCCGGTCCGGTGACGGATGATGCCCTGCACCGTGAACTGCGCAGGCTCCGTCGCCTCCTCTGGGATCTCGAGCAGCAGGAACTGCCGGCCAATCACCGCCACGGACCTCCCGTGGCCGCGTCTCCTTGAGAACCAATAACGCAGAAGCGCGCGAACCTTGAAAAAAGAATATTATCGGCTCCTACTCAAGGGAGCCCGCCTGAACGCAGAGTTTTCTGGGAGTTGTAGTTCTTGCTCCCGCGTGGAACGCTGGGAGTTTGAGTTTTCGGGTGGTATCGGATGCTCAGAGGAGATGGGCTTGGAATGTGAGGGCCAAGGAACAATAAAACTATCTGTGGTATTGGCATCACCTCGTTTATTAAGTCTTAGCAACGTTTAGAGATGATGGATTTTAAGGTACCAGGCCCCTTGCCTGGAACGTTGGGTCCCTGCCCAGCCCACAAGGTATTTATAGCCACTGCCTCAGCTTGTCCTCTGGCGTGTAATTCAACCCAAGAGCACTGGAACTTCCCACCCACCTCGGAACACAGCCCAAAGCGTGCTCTCCCAATCCCAGGCCCTGGTCCTGCCAGTGGGAAGCATCCATCTCTCCCTCCCACCTCCAGAATCCATGCTCCAGCCCCTTTGCCTTCAGATCCAAGAATCCAGACCCCCAGCCCCTTTCGGCTCACGGCCGAAACCCAACACCTCTGTCTGTCCCTAGCACCACATCCAATCCCTCCTCTCTTAGACCCAAGGGTCTCCGGGTCTTTGGGTTTGAACTTTCCCCTCCCATGAGCCTGACTCCTGCTGCTGCGTCAGGGGAAAAAAAGGTGACAGGTGGCACCTGCTGGCAGGGCCGGGACACGACCACCTGCCGCTGCTGCTCACTGGGGCCCCTCTTCCCGCACCTGTTCCTGTCTGTCTGTACAAGGCTGCCCCACCCGACCCTACAGCCCGAGGACGTGGAGGAGGAGCAAGACAGGGATCCCCCCACGTCCTCTCGCCCAGGGCCCTCCCAGCGCCTGCCCCCGCCCCTTCTTGGGGGTCCCGGGCGGGGCTCCTGGCTCCCCCGCCCCCTTCTAGGACAGCCGGCACGCCCCAGAAAGGGGAGTCCAGGGCAGTCCCAGGCCGGTGGGGTGGAGCTTGAGGTCTCCAGCCCCCGACAGCCAGACTCCACCCGCCCCAGAGCACTGCTGCACGGAGCCCACCTGGTGAGAAGCCCCTGGGGTGGAGGGATGGCCCCTCTTTAACTCTTCGTCACTTCTCTGGTCCCCATCCCTTCCCTACAGACCTGTGTGGCTGACACCCCAGCCATTCTCTTCTTTGATGACGAGGCAGGGGCTCTTCCATTCCCCAGAGAACTGTCAGGCCCACTTTCCCCTCTGGGTTCAGGATCTTGGATTCTAAGGGTACTGCATTCGATTCCTAAACTCCTCCTTCAAGATTTGAGGTTCCCTTTCAAAGACCCAGGGGCCTAAGCCCCCAGTGCCCTCCTCCTTAGGAACTAGGAGTCTTAGACCCAGGTCATTATTCTACCAAGATCTGGGAGTTAGGTCCCCCAGCGCTCAGATCCAGGGGTCCAGGCCCCGGCCCTCCTCTCTAAGACCCAGGGGTCCAGATCCCAACCCTTCCTCCCTTAGCCTCAGGGGCTCAGACCCCAGCCTTCCTCCCTTAGACCTGGGGATCAGGACCCAGCCCTCATCCCTCAGACCCGGGGTCCAGGCCCCAGCCCGCCTCTGGCCGATCTAGGGTCTGGGACCCCAACCCTCTCCCATGCAGAAATAAGACCACAGACTGCTTCTGTCTAGAATTCTCTCAGGTCCTCACCCAGAGGGGTGGCTTCCTGACCTTCACTTTCACCCTGCCCTCTGTGGGGGCCCTGCCTTCATTCTCAGTCCAGGTCCCCATTCCAGCCTTGGCAATGACCCTGGCAGCTTCCTCCCAGCGCTCCCAAATCATCCGCTCCAAGTTCCGATCTGGTGAGAAGCTTTCCTCTGGGCGTGTGTGGAAGGGTGAAGGTGGCTCTTCCCTTGGGTGGAAGAGTGGGAGGACCCATGAGCCATGTGTTTTCTGTGCCAAAGGCTACTCATGCATAAAGGAGTCCCCAGCCAAGGGGTCAACTCGTGTGCAAATGGGTGTGTGAGCAAAGAGGCCTGGGTGGCTAGGGGTGATTCTGCAGAAGGTCAGACTCTGCATATGAACAAGGGCTTAAACTGACCCAGATGCAGAGCAGAGGAGCACAGAGTGGGGACTCATTGTGGGTGGGTGAGGGGACAATGAGCTATCAAGTCTTGTAAATGCCCTGAGTCGTGTTTTAGAAAGAGTGGGAGCTCCTGAGAAGGCAAAAGGTCCTTGAGGGTGCAAATGAGTGTGCTTATATGGTTGGCTGGGCACAAAGACACCAGTAACTGAAGAACATGTGTGCAAAAAGTTATCTGTGCAGAGAAAAGCAGCAATATTCAATGAGAGTTCCTTGCTTCAAAACTGGATGACAAGGCTGGGGGCGTGGCTCAAGTGGTAAAGCACCTGCCTAGCAAGCGCAAGGCCCTGAGTTCAAACCCCCATACTGCTGAAATCAGGGCCAAATCCTGAGTATGCAAATAGTGGTAAGGTGGCTGGGTGGGTGCCAAAGGAGATGAGCCAAAGATGCAAAGTGTGCAAAAGGGTACAAATGAGCCAGGCTTGGTGGGGCACTCCTGTAATTCCAGCTACACTGGAGGAGGCAGGATCAGGAATTTAGATGCCAGCCTGGGCAGTTAGGGAGACCCTGTGTCAATACCAAAATACAAATGAAAGGGCTGAGGGAGTGGTTCCAGTGGTAGAGTGCCGCCTAGCATGTTTGAGGCCCTGGGTTCAATCCTCAGTACTGCAAAAAAGAAAAAAAAAATGCACAAAAAATGGCATGGGTGTAAAACTAGGGCCGAGAGAGATTTTTTTTTTTTTGGCGGTACTTGGGCTTGAACTAAGGGCCTACCCCTTGAGCCATTCCAACAACCCTTTTTTGTGATGGCTTTTTCCAAGATAGGGTCTCGATCTATTTCCCCAGGCTGGCTTTGAACCTCGATCCTACTGATATCTGCTATCTGAATAGCTAGGATTACAGGCGGGAGCCACCAGCACCCAGCAAAGAGGTGTATGTCTTAAGGATGGGTTTTCAGAGAGATGGCTGGGAAGGGACAGAGGTAGCAGAGAAAGGAGGCAGTGCCTGTAACTAGCGGGGTTGCACGGCTAAAAGGAAGTGAGCCCTACACGGGTCAGGCTGCTAAGATGGCGATTGTGCCAGGGTGAGGTGGGCGCACACCAATGAAGGGGTAGGGCTGCCTCCTGCCTGTGCCTGGCTCTTAGCCCCAGCGGCTCTGGCCTAAAGCGCTGTGTTGGCTGGGAGCAGGAGGGAGGCCGGGGAAAGGGAGCGGGCTGCCCGCCCACAGCTAGCACGGGGTGTGGAAGGGGCCGGGCACACATGTCCCGCCAACAACTGTGGCTGGACTCCCACCGCCTGCCAAACTAGGCTCCTGGTCACTCCCTTCCCGCCTTTCCCCTCCCACCTCCCTTCTCCTTTCACAGTCCTGCAGCTTCGGATCCACAGACGGAATCAGGACCCGAGTAAGTGTGGGCCCTGAGAGGGAGGGATGGTGACCCCAGTACCCTGGGACACCCTGGAGTACCACCACCAGGAACTTCACTGCTTCCTCCAGCTCGGTCTATGTCCTGACCCAGGATTAACTGAAATCCCAGCCTGTCCTTTCCCAAGCACCACGGAGTCCTGGTCTCCAGCCACCCCACCCCAACAATTGCATGAACTCAGGTTCTTGCTTGGGTGGGGACACACATCCCAGACGCCCCTCCCCCCAACACACACACAAGAATGTCAGGATGTGGCTTTGAGCTTCTCCCTCTTCTCCAGAGTCAGGGGTGCAGGCTCCACCCCATCCCAACAAGACCCAGAACATCTGTGATCCTCAGTTAATACACCCTTTGGTGACCGAGGACAAGACTCCTGCCTTTTTCTTGAGCCATGCCCTCAGCCTTTATTTGTACTTTGTTTTTTTTTTTATATAGGAGCTCATAATTTTTGCTTAGCCTGGGCTGGCTTTGAAATCTCCATCTTCCTGCCTCTACCTCTGGAGTAGCTGGGATTACAGGCAGGACCAACATGCCTGGCCTCTGCTTTTCTTAATTATGTGAAAATGTGGGCCCCAGCATGTCCACCCTCAGATCCAAAGTCCAGGCACCCAGCTGGTCCATTTGGGTTTGGGTCCCACACTTGGGGGTCTTGCTCCTCCCTGGCTGGCTTGCTTCCTTAAAGTCCCTTAGGGTCCTTCCCTATGTCTCCAGCGTCTGATCCAGATCCGTGCATTTCAGCCACAGGCCTGGCTCTGGCCCCAGCCTTGCCCTCCGTCCCTCCCCCTTTCCTCATCAGTGCTGGGGCCCTGCTCCCTGAGCCAGAATATTGTCCTTGGAGATCCTTGAAGAAGGTGAGTCTTGACTGCAGTGAGTGAAAGCCCCCCTGACTGTCTAGCCTTGGTCCTACTTGTCACTGCCGTTGTCCTCTTTGGTGTGGCCAAGCTGACTCCATATTTTGCACAGGACTCTGGGGCAGAACCTAGCAGAAGCTTAGGACATGGCACCCGCTTTTTTTTAGGAGTCTCCCAAGATCTCCCCACGCTGGAGAGAGCCCAAGGCCAGGGGAAACTTGACATACCATCAGTACATGCCCCCCGAGCCACGACAAGGGCCCAGGGCAGACCCCCATGCTGAGGGGTCAACCCTGGGTCCCCCGGGGCCACCTCTTTGGGAAGAGACAAAACCACAACAGCTACATCCTAGGTATGACCCTCATTTTGTTCTCTAGGGACCCAAAAGCTCAGGTCCTATATTGCTCTTGCCTGAAACCCAGAGTCCAAGCCTGGGAGCATGGCCCCAGGGCCCTCTCCTGCCCAAGTGTCCCCATTACAGGCCCTCTCCTTTGGGATCCACTCCTACAGGTGCTCCTCTCCCAGGCTCAGAAATCAAGCCCTATGTGTTTGCTTCCTCCCAGAGCCAAAATTCAGGGCCTTCACTTTCCTGCATTTTTTGAAACCCCTGTGTTTAAGGACCATGCCCCCCCAATCCCTTTTTTTTTTTTTGGTTGGGACTGGAGTTTGAACTCAGGACTTTGCACTTGCAAAGCAGGTACTCTATCCCTTGTGCCACCCCTCCAGTTCATTTTGCTCTGGTTATTTTGGAGATAGGGTCTCGAGAACTATTTGCTCAGGCTGACCTCAAACCACGATCCACCCGACCTCAGCCTCCCAAGTAGCTAGGATTACAGGCGTGAGCCACCACGCCCAGCTTCTCTGCCCATTCTTAACCACTGTCCCCCCCACCACTGTCACCAGGAAGAAGCCCACTCCCCTCACTCCCTCCCCACCAGGAGTCTCCAGTCCTTCGCCCCCGCCACACAAGTTGGAACTTCAGACCCTGAAATTGGAGGAGCTGACGGTGAGTTTAGGGGTGTAACTGCCCCAAACAGAATTGTAACCTCGCAGCCTCTGCCCCATGGAAATCCAGGAGTCTGGGTCTCCAGTTCCAGGGTTTGCAGAACCCCGACTCAGATCCCACCTCTCCCGATTTCTAACAGTCCTGTCCCCGCCCCCGGCTCCGCCTGCGCCCCAGAGTCCGCCCAGCACCGCTTGTCCCCGCCCGCTTTTCAGGTCTCTGAGCTCCGGCAGCAGCTGCGCCTGCGGGGCCTCCCGGTGTCCGGGACCAAGTCGATGCTCCTGGAGCGCATGCGCGGCGGCGCCCCGCCCCGCGAGCGGCCGAAGCCCAGGCGCGAGGACAAAGCGGCGGGGGCTCCCTGGCCACGCCTTAGGCCTAAGGCACTGGGAACCGCCAAGCGGCAGGGCCCGATGAGGGCGGGGCTAGATGTGTGTATTGGGCCAATGAGGGGAAGATAAAGGGGATGGGGCGGGAAGTAGAAAACTGAGTAGCCAATGAAGCGTGGGGGCGTGGCTAAGAGCAACGGGGGAGGAAGGGGGAGGAGCTTAATGAAGGAGAAGCCAATGAAAGAATAGAGGGTGAGGCCAAAGGAGTTGAGTGAAGGTCCAGGACAGGACTCGGGAGTGGAGCAACAGCTTACAAGTGGGTGGGGTTGCGTCAGGTGGGCGTGGCTTATGGGAACTCGCGCTCTCCGCTGTTGTAGATCAAGCAGAGTCCGGCGTCTCACAGTTTTCATCTTCCGCGAGTCCCGGATCCGCTAGTGAAGGCCCGGGCTCCGGCTTCCGCTCAGGCTCTGGCTCCAGCTCTGACACCTTGTTCAGCACCGGCCTCATCCGGCCTGACTCTGGAGGAAGAGCTGCAGGAAGCGATCCGGAGGGCGCAGGTGAGAGGGTGCGGGACCAAGTCGGCTAGGGGTTCCCGGCTCAGGTTCCCAACTCGGGTCCCGGATTCACGCCGTGTCTGCTCCTGCACAGTTGCTTCCGAACCGAGGTATCGATGACATCCTGGAGGATCAGGTGGAACTTGATGGTAGGAACCAAACTCCTCGATTTAGGGGAGAAGGGGGCTGAGGTTCTGGATTCCTGGGTTTTAGGGAGGAGTGGGTGGGGAACGGGACTTCTAGAAATGGATGGGGCACCAGGAGCCGGACCCGTGACGCCATGAGCTCACACGTTTCATCTTCTGCAGACTCGCTGCCGCCCATCCCCCTAGACTTCCCCGGCTCCTTCGACGTGCTGTCCTCATCGCCCGACTCTGAAGGTCTGTCATCTGTCTTCTCCTCTTCGCTCCCGTCTCCCACCAACTCCCCATCCCCGTCTCCCAGTGGCCCCATGGATTCCTTGGACTGGCTGGAGGCCCTGAGTGGGGGTCCTCCACTGGGCTGTGGTCCCCCAGCCCCCAGCATCTTCTCTGCCGATCTATCTGACTCCAGTGGCACCCGGCTGTGGGACCTGCTGGAGGATCCGTGGTGATGGATGGAGTCTGTGGTTTTCAGGGACGGAGAACTGGTGGGGCCAGGGTGGTCACAGAGAGATTCCCCAAAGGGGAGGAGCAAGAGTCTGCCCTTCCCATCATAGACACAGGATCGCAGAGACCCCCCCCACCCCTAATCCCCACTTGGCCCAGAACTGCTGCCGCTTACATGTCACCTTGGACTTTGCCTGTCTGGCCTCTCTGTGACCCCCCCCCCCCCCCCCCCCGCCCATACTCCATGGTTGTATGATTGGGAATGGAGGTTCATTTGCTGCTGGCCAGGGAAAACAAGCTACTTGCTGCTTCCTTCAGAGAGGCGTCATGGATGTTTTTACCCGGGTCCCCCAGACACCCTAGATGGCTACCTGTCGTCTGGGTAATCTGGAAGATGGTTCTGCTGTTTGCATTCAGGAGAGGGGCAGGAAAGAGTTGGGAGGAAGAAGAGAGGAGCCAGACCCCGCGGTTCTAGTTGGAGGTGAGACGATCAGAAGCATTGGGTGTGGAACCAACTTCACTTGGAAGCAGAGCCTGAGACAAGTTCACGTGCCAGTGGTGTTAAAGAAGTGCATCCGCTAGGTGTGGTGGCTCACGCCTGTAATCTCAGCTACTCTGGAGGCAGAGATAGGGAAGATCAAGGTTCAAGACCAGCCCAGACAAAAAGTTGTAGAGACCCTGTCTCAACAAAACAAGCTGGGTATGGTGTTATCCCAACTATGTGGGAGGCCCTAGGTAGGAGGATTGTCCTCGGTAAAAAGCAAGACCCTACCCTATCTGAAAAAGAAACAGAAAAGCAAAAGGACTGGGGACATTGCTCAGGTGGTAGTGCTTGCCTAATAAGCACAAGGCCCTAAAAGAAATAAATTATAATAAAAAATACAGCATCAGAAGCCACGCACAATGGTGCATCCCTGCAATCCCACCAGAGAAGAGAAGATTGAGAGTTTAAGGCCAGCCAGAAGGGGAGCACAGTGTGACCGCTGGTGACATGTCATCCTCTGCCTCAGCATGCTGAGCACTGCAGCATTAAGGCAACTTGAAACTAAATCTTTGTGTCTTCCTGTTGGGTTTACATTTGCTAAAGCCATAACACATAATTGCATTGGTTCTTTTTGCACAGCTGGGACAAGATTCCTGAGAGAACAACTTACAGGAGAAAGGATTTATTTGGCTCAAGATTTCAGGGGTTTAGTCCTGGAACCAGCCCCATGTATGTGGGCAGAGCATCATGATGGTAGGAACATGGGGCAGAGATTCTTCACTTCATGGCTGACAGGAAGAAGACAGAGAGAGACAGGAAGGAGCCAGGGACAAGATACCCCAGTGACCTACTCCCTCCAGCTTGACGGCACTCCTAAAGTTTCTAGAACCTCCTAAAATAGTGCCACCAGCTCTGGGTGAAGCTTTTAGCACATAATCCAGTGGGGGACATTTCATACTCACACCCTAACAATAACTGATGACTCAAGTTCCTGGTTGGCTGGGTTCTGCAGGGAAGTTCTTAAGCTCTGCAGCTATCCCTGTGACCGACTGGGCCAGGACATTCAAGATGGCGCACTTGCACGTGTTGGTGCCTTGGATGGGATGGCTAAAAGGCCAGGCCCAATGGGATTGTGGATATGTCTGGAGCTCCACGAAGTGTCAGCGCTCTAGCTCTCTGTGTAGTGTCTATCAGGCTGACTGGAGTCCTTACACAGTAGCTCAGAGCTCCCAAGAGCAGTTTTAAGGACTAGGCTCAGGCTGGGTGGTGCATACCTGTAATCCCAGTATTCCAGAGGCTGAGGCAGGAGGATCGGGTTTGGGGCCAGCTTGGGCTACATAATGAGATCCTGGCAAAAAAAAAGACTAGGCTTGGCAGTGGCCCAATTTCACATGTGCTACATTACCTCTGTTGTTTCATGCAAGTCAGGCCAGCCCAGGCTGAGTATGGGAAGGGATTTACTGAGATCTGGGAGCCTGGGGGGTTGCAGCTATTAGGGGTCATGGGTTACAGGATGGAGGGAAGGAAGAACATAAACTCTAGCACACTCGCAGCCCAAAGGCAATCCTGGTAGAAGGTCATTGGGTAAGGCGTTGGCACTAGTGGGTGTTTTTGTTTTCACCATATTCCTTCTTATATGTATCAAAACTCATACTGTACAATGAATCCTGGGTTGCAAAAGAGGATTTATTTATATATTTTTTTGTGGTACTGGGAATTGAACTCATGGCCTCATAGTTGCAAAGCAGGTGCTCTACCACTTGAGCCACACCTCCAATTCGTTTTGTTCTGGTTATTTTTGAGATAGGGTCTCTATTTGCCTGGGCTGGCCTCAACACTCAGTCCTCCTGATCTCAGCCTCCCAGGTAGCTAGGATTACAGGCGTGACAGGCATGAGCCACTGACTCTGGCTAAGTCTTGGGTTTTTTTTTTTTTTGGAGACAGAGTCTCCAAACTTACTATGAACTTACTATGTAGCCTGGGCTGGCCTCCAACTCTTGGTTTTCCGCCTTCTCCCTCCTGAGAGCTGGAATTACAGGTGTGAACCACTATAACTGGAGTCCCTATAAATTTCTCTACCAAAATTCACTTAAACTAAGACTGGAAACTGGAAAGGGATTCCTTGAATTGGATTATATAGGCAGAGACATGTTAACCTAGTAAGTACTGTGGCACCATTCCTTGGGGACAAAGCCATACACCTGGGCCCTAAGACAGCTACCTTGTCAGACCAGAGAAGCCTGCAAGGGGATGTGAGGTAGATACTAGAGCGGGTACATGTTTTCCTGAGGCATGTGGAGAGGTTACTTAGTCTATTTGATGTTGGGTGCAATCACATGATTTGCCTTAGCCCCAGAAAATATTTTTCCTACGTTCCCACTTTTGGGGGGCTTCTTCTCAGTCAGTCCTTATACAGATGGTTCCAAATTATGATGGTTTGACTTAAGATTTTCCAACTTCCCAATGATGAAAAGCATTATGTGTTCAAGTAGAAACTGTCTTTTTTTTTTTGGGCGGGGGTAGGGGTGGGTGGGGGGTATGGTGGTGTTGGGGATTGAACTCAGGACTTTGCACATGCTAGGCAAGGGCTCTACCACCGTGTTCCATTCCCAGCCCCAGCAACTGCAGTTTCGGTTCTGATCTGGTAAGCTAGTAATATGCCATCCATATTTTCTCAGGTCGTTGAGCAATGCTGTGAGCTGTGACCTCTAGCCTTTGATACTCTATGGTATAATAAGATGTAATGTTTGGTGGCTTAGGTGTATTAAATACACATTGGAGTTATATTTCAATTTATGATAGGCTTATCAGGACAGTTAAATTGTTAACGTTTTGCCTACGCCTCTTTCTGCACCTGGGTGATAAAGTATGCCCCAATGCGGCCACCATACATGGGAAATACAACCTAACTTCATGTGCTGGCAAGTTGTAAACTAACATAACTGTATTCCGTTGTAACGAAGCCCTGAATCTCAGCCAATCACAGCAGCTGAACCTCTGCCAATCAGAAGCTGAAAGGGGCCCAAGTCGTGCCCATATAAGGCAAATGAAACTGCAGCCAATTAGGATGATTTTGTCTGTCACTTCAGCCAATCAGGTTGTTTCTGTCTGCACTTCCGTTCTGCTATTAATAGTCTGCACACGAACTAGGGTAAAATCATTCTGAAACTTCTTTAGTGTAGAATGCTCTCCTGTTGTAGGTCTTTTTCCTTGTCCATGCAAACTTTATAACGTGCCTTAGGATTTTTTCTTCCCCTCTATATCTTTTTTTTTTTTTCCACTGCTGGGGAATGAACCCAGGGCTTCCTGCATGCTAGGCCTGTGGTCACCACTGAGTTTCACCTCCAGCCCCAGGTTTGTTTTTTTTGTGTGTGTGTACTGGGGTTTGACCTAAGAGCCTCACGCTTGATAGGCAGGTGCTCTACCACTTGAGCCACTCCACCAGCCCTTTTTTTTTGTGTTGGGTTTTTTCAAGATAGGGTCTCGAACTATTTGCTGGGCTGGCTTCAAATTGTGATCCTTATGATCTCTGCCTCCTGAGTGCTAGGATTACAGGCATGAGCCGCCAGCGCTTTGAACAGGAAGTAACCCTATTGTAAGTCAGAAGTGGTCTGCATTCTCCTCCATTACCTTTTCTCTTGGAGAGGGACCCCCCTCATCCACACATAGCACTGTGTTCCAATTAAGAGACCCGCCCACGGCCTTACATAAATGGCCCATGGTGGCTGCTTGACTCAAATCCAGGTCATCACATTGTTGCTTTCAGGAATGTGAAGTTGTGTGGAGAGCCAGGAAGGACTCTGTGTTGGGCGGTGAAGAGAGACATGAGTTTCCGCTCCACTTACCATCTTGGTTCATGGTCACTGCGTGCAGGCTTATCGCTGGAGTTTGTGCTCCTACTATCTTTGAACCTACACCTTTATCCACACCTCAGCCAGATGTGTCCTCACAGCAATTCGTATCAGCCACACCCACGCTTTTAGACCTCGTTTTGGTGGTGTCATTTGAGACAGCATTTCACTATATAACCCACACTGGCCTTGAACACAGGATCCTTCTATCTCTGGTCCCCAAGGCCTGTGCTATCACGCCCAGCTCTAAATCACTTTCTTTCTGATACTCAGTAGGTGTGCCTTATATATCTGTAGGAAGTCTGGAGAAGTACCTTCGTACCAAGATTTATAAAATCTGCATTTTGTGTGTGTGTGTGGTACTGGGGATTAAACTCGGAGTCACTGAGTGGAATCCTGGAGGTTCACAGGGTCACACTGCTCTCATATATCTCTACCAAGATACATGATCGGCCTCTAGAAACCCAGGTTCAGAGGCAAGGCATACAATCTTGATGCCCACCAGCTAGTAGCCAGTATGGTGCTTTTATGCAAATTGGAAAAGGCTCCTCTTCTGGATGGACCAAAGCCCTTTGGGTGAAGTAGACTGTGGGCTCTACTTAAACTCCAGTTTTGTCTTTGAGCGGGTAACTTCGGGTAGTGATTAATCTGCATAACCACTCAGGGCCTCCCTCCTGTCTACCAATAACCAATGTCTGCATCTTCCTTGGTAATACCACCCAGGTTGTCTAAAAATTGCTACGTTTCAGAAGAGCCTGTTGACTCCTCAGTTAGAGGATCAGAGGCTAAGCCAATCTACTGGTCTCACTCATTTTGCATCATAATGGGCCACATGGATGAGTGGCACAATTCCTGACAGAGATAAGGGGGTAAGTTGTTGAAGGGTTTAGGAAGTCGCCATAGTTTTAATATGATTCCTGTGTTGGGAGCTTCATCCTCAGTGTGCAGATGTGGCCTGGTGGAGTGGCTCAGGTGACTGAGCATCTGCCTAGCAAGTGTGAGGCCCTGGGTTCAAACCCCAGTACCACACACACACACACACACACACACACACACACACACAAATCCTACATTGCACAGGACAAAGCTCAGTGTGCAGATGTGAGAGATGGTGGGACCTTTAAGAGGCAGAGCCAAGCAGGAGGGTTTTAGGTCATTGGAGGCACTGCCTTTAAAAGGGACAAAGAAGTTCTGGAAAACAGGTTGTTCTAGAAAGAGCAAGCCTGGCCCCTCCCTTTGCTTCCTGTTGGATGCCATTGTCATGCCATCCACATAAGGTCCTCACCAGACCTGTATAATAGTCACCCAGCCCCAGGTATTTCATCACAGTAATGGAAAAGAGACTAATACAGATTTCTTTCGCTCTTCAAGAGGGTCCCAAGATAAGAATAAGCTTTTTTCTTTTTTATGGAAATACTGTAGTTTAAACTCAGTTCCTCACACTTGCTACGCAGGTGCTCTAACACTTGAACCACATACTCCCCCAGCCTAAGCATAAGCCTTGATTTGCTCCTCTGGAAGAGATTGTCTGCATGTGATGTATGTGGCAGCCATTTTGGGCCCGTGAGACAACTGTGCTGAGAAGAGAAACTGAGGGTACAGCAAGACGATGGATAAAGCTGGGATCTCTGATGAAGTTGTTGAGCTGCCAAGTTAGCTGATGCCTGAGCTGTGCCTCTGCTGCTCTGATTGTGCTAGACGTATGACCATATTAGCTGGATTTCCCTTCCTTGCAGCCCAAGGCGTCTCCATGCAAGTGGGAAGGGTCTTAGTGCATTTAACAAAGGGTTCCTCATGCCTGGGAGCTGAGGGGCTGCCAGGGACAGTCTGGTGTCAGTGCTTGAGTAGTGGGGACAGGTCAGCAGGGATCCCCACCCACTCTGGCAGGAAGGCTGCTTCTGGCTTAAAGACTTTGAGGAAGGGAGAGTTCGGCAGGGTGAAGTTGGCCAGGTAAACTGTCTCTCCCCCAGCGAGGTAGGCGGCCCAGATTCCGAAGGTGCCGATGGTCATGACCGTGTGGTTGCACTGCGTGAGAAGTGCAAAGTCCTTGGCTGGCGAGTTCTCAATGCCATTGCCCGCAAACACCACGTCCCCCGGGAGGCGTCGATGTTCTCCCGACACCAGGCCATACCATTGCTGGTGACCACGAACACCGGGGAGTGGTAGCGAGCCCGGAATCGGTCCAGAGCCTGCTCCAGGTAGCCCCGATCGGCCACCACCCCTTTCCACACCTGAGGCATGACGCGGACGTAGTCCCCACGGCGCACGTGGACCCCCACAAAGGTGCCCGGCCGGCTCCCGTTCACCCGCAGGCCCCGCAGGAACGCCTGGGCCTCCTCGCGCACGTGCTCGTGCAGGCTGAACTCCTGCAGGATCTGGGGGCGCAGGTGGTGGTAGAAGGTCCAGGAGCACGGGTACCCCGTGAGGCGCACGTAGCGGCCCCGGATGTGGCGATAGCGTTCCTCCATCCAGTCGTTCAGGTGGTAGTTCTGCCACGGGATCCCGCGGGCCGTGGTGCTGTGCAGCACGGGGAGCGTGATCCTGAATATGGGGGCCAGCGTGTCGTGCATCTGGGCGGGGATGAAGGCGGGGCGCCCGTTCATCTTGGCCAGGGCGTACAGCGTGGCGTACTCGCCCATCTGGTTCCCCAGGCGCCCGATGGCATTGATGGTGAACATGCCTTCCAGCTGGTGACTCTCTGTGGCTGGCAATGGCCCCAATGCCACAGGCGTCTGGCCCTCCCACGTGAGCTGAGTCTTCCCTAATCGTTGCTGAAGGTGGAAGATGGTGGATGCCGTGAACACAAAGAGGATGAAGTGAGCCATGGGGAAGAAGAAGGGCACCTGCGTGCTGGCCATGGCTGTGGGGCAGGAGACAGAGGCCACATTAGCTCAAGGATGCAGCCGGGTGGTGCGTGGACACGGCCTTGTGGCTGGGGGTGCAGACGTGGTGTGGGTGCATGTGTGCAGAAACACTGGCTGCTTGTCTTGATGTGTACAGGTGTGGCTGTGGAGTAGGTGTCTCTGCAGGTGTGTATATTCTTTGTGGTCCTGCGTGGGTGTATCTCACAGGTGGACATGTGTGCCTGTGGGACATGTGTGTGCAAATACGGCTTTGTGAGAAATCGTGTGCTCACGGATGTGTGATGTGGCATGTGTGTGCACCCACTGCATACATATGTGAAGTGTGTGTGTGCAGAGGTGTATATGGTATGTAGGTGGTTATGAATGTGGCGTGTGTGTGTAAATATGTGAGTGTACACCCTCCCATCTTAGAATGGGGTTGTAGCCTGATAAACCCTCTATAAATTAAAAATGTCATAAATCAAAAATACATTGAAGCCAGGTGTGGTTGGAGCGTGCGTGTAACCCCAGCTATGTGAGAGACGTGGACAGAAGGATCGCAGTCTGAGGTCAGCCCCCAGGAAAAAGCACAAATCACTGAAGTGGAAAAGGGGCGCGATGTGGCTCAAGGGGTGCAGCATCTGCCTGCCCCCAGCCTATGGCCCCTTTGGAGGGAAATCTCACTGCCCACTTAGGTCTAAACCACTTGGCCCACCTACTCCTGTGGTCACAGCCAATAGAATTTGAGATAGACATGACAGCCTGTTCACGAATTGTCCCTGGCCTGGGACCTCTGCAGGCAGGCTCCAAAAGATGAGCTGGGCCAGGAGTGGTGGTACCCATGTATAATCCTAGTACTCTGGAAGATGAGGCAGGAGGATCACAAGTTCAAGACTGGCCTGCGCTGCATAGTCAGATGGTCCCAAAAATAAAATATATATCAAATACACACTTGTGCACATAGATACATTTTAATATGTAAGCAAGGACCCCAGGCTTGCTGTGCAAATGCTCCACCATTTGAGCCACGCCCTCAGTCTGCTTGGGTCAAATTCTCTGTTGGGGTATTTTTTTTTTCTTGGCAGGACTAGTGTGGTGAAGCCAGCCAGGAGAAATGGTGAGCCCCCAGACCCTGCATTTTGTACTCTTTTTTTTTTCTTCTATTGTTCCTTCTGTACAACCAAGGCAATGGGATGAGCTCTGCCTTTGGGAAATGTGGGTGGGAGACATGGGTCCACAGGACCCAGCATTGTCTGCCTGACTCCTGGGACTCACATCAAGCACCACAGGTGGCGCAGTGGCGTTGTCCCTGTTGGGCAGGATTCAGTGGAGTCCACCTGCTGGATGCGGGGGCAGCCCTGTACCTGGGTCTGGGATCAACTGGCAGAGACTTGCGGTTAGTATTGCCAGGTCCTGCCCTGGGGATACATGCCCCAGGGGACGGACCACATTAAACTGCGGTGCCCTTCTCCCTTGTCCCTGTCCCATTCTGCGCCATGCATGCGGTGCCAGCTCTGTGTGCCAGGCTGGAAGGCTCGCAGTGCCTGAGCTGGCTGCGAGAGGGACTAGCACAAAAGTGCTGCCACGCCATCTCTACCACCACCAGTGGGAAGGGCAAGGGAGGCTTGTGGCATTGAGGGCGAGATGGGCAACAGCCTGGGAGCTTACTGTGACCACGTGAGTGCTGAGCCCTCTCCAGCTGCCTCCCTGTGCCAGCTGCGTCTTGGGCTGGTTCTCCAGCCCCACAACTCAGCCTGGGCCTGGAAGCACCACCTAGCTGCTGTCATAGCCTAGGTGGTGGAGTCCCCCAGCCAGCGGCGGCAGGAGGAGACAACTGTGTGCTCCAAGCCACCCAAGAATGCCTGCCTACCAAGTGTGAGGCCATGAGTTCAAATCCCAGTCCCGTGGATGAAGGGGAGGGGAGGAAAGGAAGACAAAGCAGGACCTAAATTGTTTCAAACTCCATCAGGTGGCTGGAAGCCAGCAGGCAAAAGTAGAGTGGGCAGCACCTACTGTGTCACAGCACAGCGTTGCTGCTGCATGCTTGTCAGGCTGGGCTGACATCTGTGCCATGTGGCTACAGGCTATGTGCATGTGCAGCTAGTAATGGGTGTGCACCAGGCCCCCAGTGCTGGGAAAGGATCTATGGGAAGCTTTGGGACCCAGGACCTCCTGTGCTCTGAGCAATTCTAGGGGATTTGCACCTCTTCCCTCCCCTCATTCATAACAGAGCCTGCACTCGTGCAAGTGCAAGGAGGCTATGTACCCAGGTGGGTTGGAGACAAAAGGTATACCAGGGTTCTGAGCCAAGAAGTCGTTAAGAGGATGCTGGTGCTAAACCAAGCAGGGTGGAGCCTGACTGGAAAGCTGCCAGCTCTCCCCTAGGATGGCCTAGCTCAGTCTTCACTCTGGCTGGGTGAAAGGATGGGTGTGGGGAGGGAGCTGGCGCACCTCCTAGGTCAGAATCCATGAGCAGCATTTTTATCACCCACAAATTCTAGATAAGACTGCTTCCTCATCGATCCACAGTCCTCCTCAGTGCCACCTCCCAAGTAGCTTGGATTACAGGCTGGAGCAACTGAGCCCAGCCTAAGTGTTTGCTGTTAGTTCCTACAAAGCAAAGGGTGCTGGTGTGCGTAGCTCTGGGTGAAGAACCAGTGGGTTCCACTCCTCACGTGAGCGGGTTGATGAAACTCAAGTTTAGCATTTAGACCCCAGAACCCAGAAGTAGGAGGAGACACAAGAGAACAAGATGGAATTCCGGGGGCGTGGCTCAAGTGGTAGAGCGCTTGTCTAGCAAGCCTGAGGCCCTGAGTTCAAACCCTAGTACTGCACCCGGAGGAAGACTCGCTCTCGTTTGAAGCCTGGGAACTCCGAGACCAACTGAAGTAAGCCTGTGCCTTTGGATGCAGGTACAGTGGGACCCCCCTCTGAGGTGGGGAGCACTGCTGTTGTAGATTGTGCCCCAGGCTCAGTGGGAAAGGCCGCGTGTAGACTGATTTCAGCAAACACTTAGGCTGGGCTCAGTTGCTCCAGCCTGTAATCCTAGCTACTTGGGAGGTGGCGCTGAGGAGGACTGTGGATCGATGAGAAAGCAGTCTTATCTAGAATTTGTGGGTGATAAAAATGCTGCTCATGGATTCTGACCTAGGAGGTGCGCCAGCTCCCTCCCCACACCCATCCTTTCACCCAGCTAGGCCATCCTAGGGGAGAGTTGGAAGGTATTCCTGTGGCCCTGATGGTTCCTGGATCCTACTCCCATGAGGCACTGGCGCACGGTCCAGATCCCCAAAGCATCCAGAGATGATGGAGCGGGCTCTGTGGGTGCAGGAGCACAGAGGATTCTGGGAGACGAGGCCAATCTTCCTTTCTGTAACTACACTGTGAGCACTTCAATGGCAGGAAGTAGACATGGCTCCTCTGTCTGCCAAACCCAGGACATGTGACACTCAGAGGCCAAGGGAATATGTGTGGGAATGTGGAAGGATAGAGAAAAGGGAGGGAAGAGGGAGGGAGGAGAAAGGGAGGCAGGAAGGAAGGAAGAAAAGGAGGGAGGGAAGGAAAGGGAGGGAGAGAGGAAAGGAGAGAGGAGGAAGGGAGGGAGGGGGGAAAGAGATAGAGGTAGGAAGATACAGAGGAAAATGGAGGCAGGGGAGAGACAGATGGACCTGCCTCCACTTGTCCCCACGCTAGTCCACCAGTTGCTCTCCAGTTCTCTGTTCCCCTTCCCCCCATCAGCCTGATTGTGGCTGTCTGTGTGTGGTCACCAGACACCTCCTGAAGGAAAGGACAGTGGCCATCCTCCTCCCTGCGGCATCCCCCAGCCCCAGGTTCCTGGTTGTGTGCAGAGTGGATGTGCTCCGCCTGGTTCCACCTGTTTTTCTCTCCCTCTCTCGCTGAGTCTCAGCCAACATCTCCCTGTCTCCCTTTGTAACCCCTTGGCAGCAGTTAGACAATAAAGCTGCTTTGTTTCAGGTGAAAAGACAGACAGAATGTTCTATAACAATATCTCTGAACCTCCTTAGCAGTTCTCCTTCCTCCTGCCAGGAAGGGGATGGATCCCTGCTGAGGAGAGGCACCTCTTTGACCTCCCTGAGGCTGCAGGGGGACAGGAAGCCATGGAGGTGTCTCATAGAGCAAACCAGCCAGCTATGAGATGTGAAAGATTTAGATTTAGGGAGAATAAATGGCCTGCTGGGTCAGGAGCCACCCAAGGCTGTGTGACCTGGACCAAAGGCCTTTACCTCTCTGGCCTTCAGTCACATAGTCAGAGGGACACAGGAGCACAGTACCGATTAGTAAACCCTGAGTCAATGCCCTGTGCCATGGGCTGCTTCTGCTGTCTCAAATCCAGTTTTTAATTTTTTTGGTGGGACTGGGGTTTGAACTCAGGGCTTTGCACTTGCAAAACAGGCACTCTACCACGTGAGCCACGCCTCCAATCAATTTTGCTGTGTTTTGGAGATGGGGATCTTGCAAACTGTTCGTCTGGGCTGGCCTTCAACCAAGATCCTCCCGATCTCAGCCTCCTCATTAGCTAGGATGACAGGTGTGAACCACCAGTGCCCGGCAGGTCTCTCATTTTTGTTCCGGACTGCCTTTAAACTGTGATCCTCCTACCTATGCCTTCTGCATAGCTGGGATTTACACCCTGTGCCACAACACTGGCTTCTAGATTGAAAGAGGGTCTCACTAACTTCTTGGCCAGGCTGGCTTCCTAATCTTCATCATAATCTTCATCTCCCAAGTAGCTGGGATTACAGGAATGATCCACCATACCTGCCAACTCAGACTCTGCAAGTAGATGATGACAGGCCCATTTCACACCAAAGAAAACTGAAGCTCAGAGATGGGAAGGTCCAGGGTGATGGGGGGCTGGAAGGGTACAGAGTCATCTAGCATTTGGAAAATCAGCAGCCTGGCATCAGTGGGGAATCCTGGTGACCCCGATAGCTACAGTCAAAATCAGGGCTGGGCTCTTGCTGGCAAATGGGAGCCTGTACTTCCCACTGGTCCTCTGAGGTCAGGGAGTTCATCAGCTATCTACCCTCAGTTTCTACAGCTCATCCGGCTCCCCTGTCCTCCATCTGGATCC